TTTCGGGCCTAGACCCTGCTCCTCTGATGCTGCTTGGCCTGCTGTGTTCATCCAGCTCTACATCTTGTTATCGCTTATAGCTGAATAGTTGGTTTATTCTGTTTTATCGTCATTGTGTTAAAAACTTTGATTTATTGTTAAAATGAAATCTGGAGCATTGCATGCTTGTGTGTGTTTCAGCGAGATACCAGATTTCAGTCTGGGATTAAAGCTGTCCAATAATAACATCAACAATCATAATAACACCTTCACTAACCAAGAGTCCATTAAAGGCAAAATTATTATGACCAACAATTTCTCCACCTGAAATTAGCAAATTCAAAAGAATGCAGGTAGAACCTAATAATTTCACAGGAAACTCACTAAGCCACAGTTGGATGATTTGTCTGATTCCAAATTTTAAAAAATCACATTGGCCCTTTTATTGTAAATTATGGTCTCCATGAAGTTTTTCCTCAGTGAATTTGTCCTCAAAACCCACCATCTAACAACAGTAACTACTAAAAGTGAAACACATTGAGCATTGAATTTGAGTGCACTTTGTAAAGTATTAAAAAAAATCAAATAATTCACATTGTACTGTCACACTTTAGCACATTTTTTACTTAAATTTAAAATAATGGCAAAATTGCTATTTTGATATTATGCAAAGAACTGATCTTTTCATATTACTAGAAAGTTTTCAACGCATCTATACAAAACCACGTGTTTTAAGTTATGTTCTGGATGTAAGAGCTAACGTGGATAAAGTGACACTCATTTTCTATCTTGTGTACTTTTATGAACGGTTATAAGGAATTATGCAGATTTTAAAATGTCTGGCTGTGCTCAATAGATAGATGAATTAGTGGTCCAAATAAAATAAATGGGTTTAATTTTATAACCATTGTAGTGATGTAGTTGCAAGGATGGAAATTGAATATTCAGAGATAATAGATTTTGAAAGGATCAGCAGAAAGGAAAATGCGAATGAATCATCTTTTTTAAAAACAATGAAATTAGTATGAAAGTGACAAATAATCTTGACTTGAATGATCACGATGTTGAAACAATTTGAGTCGAGATAAAAATAACAAGGGAAGTAAGTTACTGGTGGACATTGACTGTAGGAATCCTAATTGTAGCCGTACTGAAGGGCAAAAGTATAAATCAAGAAAGAATGGAAGCTTGTAAGAAAGGTACCACAATTATTGTGATTTTGGTTTTCATATAGATAAATGGTAAAGGTAGTCTTAAGGACATGTTAATTGGGTGCATTCAGGTCAATATGTTGTGGAACCAATCAGGGAACAGACAATTTTAGAGCTTGCAGTGTGTAATAAGACAGAGTTAACAATCATCCTCCAAGGAATAATTAACATGATCAAATTTCACATTCAGTTTGGGTACAAGAAATTTGCGTTTGATTCTAGTGTTGTAAATTTAAATAAAGGCAATTACAAAGTTATGAAGACATAACTAACTAGTTATTTCTCCATATCCATGACGGTTACATTCTTGAGAACTTCAGTGAATGATAGAATTCACAAGTGTGACGCTCATTTAAAAAGAGGTTAAAAATAGCAGATATGCAATTTTTGCCTGTGGATGTTAATTTTTGTTGCTACTTTTTTTTAGCACAGATAGGGCAAATTCATGATTCGTGATTTTGCAGATACTCAGGGTTTACTGTAATTGGCTAATGTGAATTGGGAACATAGATCAAAAAGGTAAGCAGCAACATATTTAAAGAGATATTCTATTATTCTCAACAAAGATATGTTCTATGGAAAAAGAAAAAAGAAATACTCTATGTGAAGAATGAAGATTTGTGGTGGGCCAAAATAGTTTAGCATGATATCAAATTGAAAGAAAAGTCATTCAATGTGCAGAGTGGTAGGCAGAAGATTAGGGAATTTTTAAGAAACAAAAGAAAGTTTTTTTTCCCAAAAGGGCAAAAAAATTAAAATAAATCAGCAAGAGCTATAAAACTTCTCCAAGTACATAGAAAAGGAAGCTTGCAGCTAAAGTAAACATTGGTCTTTTACAAGATGAAGCTAAATGATTAATAATGGGAATCAGCAAAGACTTGAAAGTATTAATCGTGTCTTCTTCTAGTGAAGGCAATGTAAAATATCCCAACAACAGGGGCAATATCAGAGGCAAAAGAGAGGGAAGAACTTAAACTAACTATAACTTGAGGAAAAAGCACTAAGCAAAATAATGAGACTAAATGTTGATGACTTTCCTGGACCCAATGGCCTGCGTCCTTGATGCTAGAAGAGCGGGGTCTCTTGAAAGTGGTTATTGTGCTAGAATTCCTGCAATTCTGGGCAGGCCCCAGTGGATTTGAATATAGCAAATGCCTCTATTGAAGAAAGGCTGAAATCAGAAAGCAGAAAGCAGGTAGCTGTAGGACAGTTATCCTAACACTTATCCTTGGGGAAATGCTGGATTTCATTATTAAAGCAGGCAACAGCTAGGTATTTAGAAAATCATAAGAGAATCAGAATCAATACAGCTTTTTGAAAGGGAAACGGTGTTTGATGAATTTATTGGAGTTCTTTGATGACGTAAAAGGTGGGTTAGATAAACTAAAAATCAGAAGACGTAGAGTATTTGGAGTTCCCACAGACATTCAACAAGGTGTCACATAGAAAGTTACTGCAAAAGAGTTTGATACATTGGGGTTAAAAATATTGGCAAGGATAAATTTAGCTAATTGACTATCAGAGAACAGACAGTAGAACCAAGTGGGTAATTTTCATGCTGCCATAAATTACGAGAATGTATCTGATGAAGGGACAGCATGTATTATAGCCAAATTCGCCGATGATATGAAGCTAGTGCTAAAGTATATGCAAAGGAATATAGGTTAGGTGAGTTTGCAAAAATTTGGCACTTGGGAGTATAATGTTGGAAAGTGGAAGGCCACTTACATTGATAGGAAGAATAGGAAAGATATTATTTAAGTGAGGAGTGACTACAAACTGCCATGGTGCAGAGGGATTTGTGTACGCTGCGCATGAAATATTAGAATTTAACATATGTAATTAGAAGGCAAATAAAACCCAAATCAAAGAAAAAGAATTAGGCCATTTCACCCATCAAGTCTGCTCTGTCACTCGATCATGGCTGATAGGTTTCTCAACTCCATTCTCCTCCATTCTCCTCATAACACTTGATCCCCATACCGATCAAGAACTTACCTATCTCTGTCTTAAATATGCTCAATGACTTGGCCCCCACAGCCTTCCGTGGCAATGAGTTCCACAGTCTAGCCACCAGCTGGCTGAAAGAATCCCTCAACTCCGTTCTAAAGGGTCGACCCTTCATTCTGAGGCTGTGCCCTCAGGTCCTAGTCTCTCCTACTTGTGGAAGCATCTTCTCCACATCCACTCTGTCCAGGCCTCTCAATATTCTTCAAGTTTAAATGAGATCCCCACTCATCCTTCTAAACTCAGAGTACAGATCCAGAGTCCTCAACTGCTCCTTATATGAGAAGCCCTTTAACCATCTTTGTGTCACGTGCAAACTTAGCAACAATGTTCTCAATTCCTTCGTCCAGATCATTAAGGTATGATAGGAATAGTCGTGGCTCCAAAACTGACCCCTGCAGAACTCCACAAGTCACCAACTTGCAAATAAAAAAGTCCCCTTTATCTCCAGTCTCTGCCTTCTGCCAGTCAGCCAATCTATTCATGTCAGTACCTTGCCTCGAACACCACGGACTCTTATTTCATTTAGCAGCCTCTGGTGCAGCACCTTGTCAAAGGCCTTCTGGAAATCCAGAAGATCATGTCTGCTGGATGTCCTTTGTCTAACTTGCTCATTACTGAAGTGTTGGACTCCATTCAAAGGGGATGTAGTGTAAAGTAGGGAAGTCTTGCGACAGCTATACATGGCATTAGAGAGCCCGCAACTTGAGTAGTGTATATAATTTCAGCCTCATCTTTAAAGGAGATAATAGTTGTATTGATGGCAGCTCAGAGAAAGTTTATTATGTTGATTCCTTGGATCAAGATGCTATGCCTTATGAGGTAACATTAAGCAAGTTAGGCCTATACTTGTTGGCATTTAGAAAAATCAGATGTGATCTTATTAGGGCAAACTACCATTAGACAGTATAATGCCAGAATATGAGGTTGCTCATTCTGTGTCTTGTGAATCTTTGGAATTCTCTAGTCCAGGGAGCTGAGGAGACCGAGTCAGAGTATATTTAAAGGCCAAGATAGGTCCGTTCTTGGACTAAGTGGGGGGTTAAGGGTAACAGGCTGCAAAACAAAGTTAAGGCCATTATCAGATTCTTATTGAATGACAAGGCCAGATAGGCTGGGCCTTTTTGCACTGGAGCATAGAAGGTTGAGGGGTGACCTTATACAGGTTTGTAAAATCATGAAGGGCATAGATGAGGTACACAGCAAGGGGCTTTCCCTAGGGTGGGGGAGTTCAAAAGTAGGGGGCACTTTTTTTTTTAAAAAAGTGAGAGGAGAAAGTTTTAATAAAGGACACGAGGGGCAACCTTTCTGCACAGAGGATGGTGTGTGTGTGGAATAAACTTCCAGAAGTAGTGGTGGTTGTGGGTTCAATTACAACATTTAAAAGATATTTGGACAAGTTCATGAATAGGAAAGGTTTGAAAGGATGAGCCAAACGCAGTCAAGTGAGACTAGTTTAGTTTGGGAACATAGTCAGTGTGGACTAGTTGGACCAAAGCGTCTATTTCTGTGTTGTATGACTCTGTGATTACGATAAAAGGCGGGTCAAGGGACCATGTGGCCTACTACTGCTGCAATTTCTGATTGTAAATTTAAATTGGGATCTAACGAACAAAGAAGATGCACAACTAAACTAAAAAGTCACATTTTCTCACACTGTAGTATTATATTATTATGGTTATGTGTCATAATTTTCATACTTCCAGCTGACTCAACTTTCTCAATATAATATGAATATGCAGTGCAATGAATGTCTAACACTCTTGGGTTAAGGATGATGTTTAATTTGTCACAGGTATAAGGACGAAATTTGTAACCATTTCTTTAATTGTCCACTTGGAACACAATGGAAGTTGAAGTTAAAACAACGTTGTTAATGTTCCATTTGAAGCCTTATACTAATTGTATTTAGGGAAATAAACAGAACTCGAATGCTGATGTGCAGCCTTCAGTCTATGTTTATGCACTTTATAATAATACTAACACTATCAATACTTTAAAACAAAAAATAGCTTTTTAAAATCATTAGACAATGGAAAGTGGCATTATGCCAGTATCCGAAGATTGCAATGGAAAGCCTTACTATGTATGACATGGTGATTGCTACAGCATTAAAGAATTTTATTTGACAGAAAACCTTAACAATTCAGCATTTATCTACATGATTAACTAAATTGATTTATATTAAAAAAACAAGCGTACTCAACGAATTTAAAATAAATTACTTAAGAATACTTATAAATTCTTGATAAAATGGTATCTCCGATTCAAAAGTATCTTGCATGGCAATAAAAACTGACTGCTACTTAGTCCGATATAAGCACAATTCAAAATTAGAAGAATAGAATTGGAGATCATCATATAAAGCTGTGGTCTTTATACTAGGGGACTTCAAGAAATGGAGGAACAGATGCAAAGCCAACCATTGTTTGCTGCTGGACAACCAGTGATCAAGGTTTTCATGTTGCAGGGCCTAGAGGAACTGGCTGTGTTATCAGATAATATATACTAATTTGTACCTCTGGATTTTTGATAATTTCAATGCTGGTAGTCTTGCCTCTTTAACAGAATATATTGTTGCTGCTCTATTATTTCATGAAATCACTTTTCCTTAACTCACAAACTGATTAATGGATAATGCAGTTTCAGTAGTAGCATTTCAGACTAGCATTTCCTGGTGGAAGGGCAAATTGATCCTGTTTAAATATGAAAATGGAAAAGTGCAAGCGTTGTAACAGAGAAAGAAAACCTGCAGCATGTAGTGTTCTATTATGGGAATAAGCAGCTTGTAATACTAAAATCCTTTCAGCCATTTCCCACTGCTTCTTTCTGTAGGGAATTCCATGAGACAGTGTAACATGCAAGTTAAACCTGTGCTGCAAAGATTGCTTCCTTAAAAATATGCACATAAATATTTTGCAAAATTCTACAGAATGTAATACAGTACAGCAAAGAAAAAGGACAATGTTGCTTGGGTGATGTCATTTTACCTAGAAGTCAACACAGGCAAGAAAAGGAATTGTTTTGTTGGATGATGCATTGCAACTCAGGCTTTCTGACTAAACAGCAGCACATGGTTTAAAATACCATTTGAGCTACGTTAAAAAAAAAAAAAAATCAATAAACACTAACAATTCCCTCAAGTAAACGCTGGGATTTAAAGTAAATCTGTTAAGAAAAAAATTGACCACCATCTTAGGAGTGAGCGAAGCATCACCTACCTGTTCCGTTGTCGATGCTCCTAATTGCTGGGTCCTGAGCATTTAGATCCTGCACAATTCTAGCACTGAGGCATGTAAATACCTTAAACTGTCCTTCACAAGATCTAGTAGCTTTCTTCCATTGGTTTACATTTCTCTGGTTTCTTGAAAATCCTGGTATCAGCATTACAAATGCTTTATTCCCTAGGTTTCCTTTTACACACATAAGAAAATGCTGCTTTGGTTGAAGTTTTTCTTTATGTTGCTTGATTCCACATCTAAACTGAAAGATCTTTCTCCAGACAGCACCGAACCAATATCAGTTCATTTCACACAATCAGCTACAAACTGGCACTGACTACAGTCACACAGTTGCTGGTGTAGGTGATCAGTCAGAACATATTTTAATGCGTTATTTACAGAAAAATTAAACAGTAGTTATTACTTGAAACTGGAACAATCTCTTCCAAACAATCTTTCACAGAAACAAAACTTTAGATTTTAACCAGCTATAAACCACAGCATTTACGATGGTTTGAGAGAGATAATTTGGGTTCACATTCAGGGCAGAACAGTCTAGACTCTGACATCTCCTAAAGCGAGTTATTATTTATAATCTGCATTAAATACTTACAAAGAGAGATAGAAGGAAGGCAGGAGAACCCATGGGGACACTGTCCTGTTAAAGGACAAAGAAAAACACCAAATCAGAGTCAACCTAAATAAACACAAAAGCAAACCAACTACACTCCTCTCTCAAGACATCAATCTGGATTTCCAGTCAATTGTATGCTAGCAGGAATGGTTTACCACTTGGTTACAAATCAATCATAAAGTCCAGATTTTAAGGACAAAATGAAGGGATTCCTGAATCATCTATAAACTGTTAAGTGGGAGGTAAACCACTACTTCCATAAATGTAGCTGAAAGGCAATTATATTTGCTTGACCACATAATCAATGTTAAAACAGTAATTCTACCTATGGTTTTATTCCTGGGCTAGGATTCTGAAATCTACCTACTGACATTACATGTTTATGATTACTGTACACAGAAGGTCAGTTGTAACAAGAATACCTATACCTGTAAATCAAAAGTACAAGCAAATATATGTTATGCTGTTATGCTTTCACTGATTAGACATCTGGTGCTGTTTAAAAAAAAATAGTAATAGCTTGTACCATATAAGCATTTGTCATACTTGAGACAGGATGTATAAAACCTATTCCAAGGGATTAAATAAACTTGCATTTTATTGTGCTGAAAAAATGGTAATACATATTCAAGGCCATTATAGGCGATTCCAATGACAGAACTTAAATACTTCCAACTATCTGAACAATGATGTTCAAGCAATGTATGGATCCAATCACTTACCAGAATTTCACTAACAGTCAATTCAGTAAATACCAGAGTAAGCTTTTGTCCTTACCATGACTTGAGAATCCAAACGGTGGCCCTACAGGGATACCCCCCGAAAGGCTAATTGTTTTATACTCTGTTCTCACTGTGAGGACTACAGTGCTTCTCTAAAGAGTCAGCAAGCAACAGCAAAAGCATTTTACGTCAAGGGATTAATTTTCATGAAGAAGTTTGGAATGAAACTCCAGTGATAATGTAAATACTATGAGATGTCTAGAGTCAAATTTTACTATAATCTCAAAATCATCCCTGAAGGAGATCACTCAGAATTGAAGCGTAACTGAAGCACTTCTTGTATTTTATTGCGGTAATAGTTCAAATCGGAAGCAGTGTAAATTATTTATTAGATAGTGGTTGTCAGGAAATGTAAAGGACTCCCAAAAGGAATTAGTTTCTTAATAGCTTTTGAGCTTTGATGACTAAAGTCTATCATCATCATAGAATCCCTACAGTGTGGAAACAGGCCCTTCGGCCCAACAAGTCCACACCGACCCTTGGAACATCCTACCCAGACCCATCTCCCTATAACCCACACACCCCTGAACACTACGGTCAATTTAGCATGGCGAATCTACCTAGCCTGCACGTCTTTGGACTGTGGGAGGAAACTGGAGCACCCGGAGGAAACCCACGTAGACACAGGGAGAATGTGCAAACTCCGCACAGACAGTCGCCAGAGGCTTAAATCGAACGTGGGTCCCTGGCGCTGTGAGACTGCAGTGCTAACCTAAATTATTCTGACCTCTTTTGTCAGAAAGTCTTACCACTCTCGCCAAAACTAGTTTGTCTCAATATTATTATTGGACTATGCCTTAATTTAGATCTCATCGCATAAATAGTATATTAGCCAAGTGACAAAACTTGAGATGCCTCAGCATGGTCAATGAGTCAGAGTAAGCATTTCAGCTGAAATGACACTATCTTTAATCACACATCTACAAGTCTACTTTCAACATGATCATCTGAAGGGGATCACAAAAAGGTCCACTTTACATCTATTCCAGCCCTAGTCTTACTTCAGTCATGGTAGCACCAACTGTCATACCCCCAAGTAACCTTAGCTGATGTGGCAAAACTTGAAAACAACTGAACCAAAGGCAGAACTTCAGAAATTGCTGACCTATTTAAGTTAGAACCATGCCACATACTCTTCTGATGGGCAGGAAATAGGATGAACTTATATTCGCCCTTAAAAATTACTTCTCAAAGTTTCCTCCTCCTTTCAACTTTCATATTGATATGTCTCAATTCTTGTTATTCTCAGAATCCTACAACAAATTCATCATTAACAGCCACCAATTTTTATATCCACCAACTTGCAAATGAACTGTAATTTTAAAATATGTCACAAGTACTTTCATATATATAAGTAACAGCATGTACAATATTAATAATGGTTTGGGGTATTTTTGACATCAGGCTCACCCTGTCACATAAAACTTAATTAAATGAAAATGTTAGCAATACAGTAATCTCCCCTGTTTCCATCACACACAGTGAATGTGGAGTGTTCTGAAGAAAGGCCATCGGACACAAAATGTTAACTCTGCTTCCTCTCCACAGCTGCCAGACTTGCAGAGTTTCTCCAGCAATTTCGGTTTTAGTTTCAATGATTGAGGGGTGCTGATTATATGAATCTACAGGTTGCAGAGAAATGGTAGTGGTAAAAGAAAACTCGACTTGTCAGTACCACAAGATGAATGCATGTTTTAAAAGTGAGCGGCCAGAACTGCTCATAAATACTGCTGACGCTTTGATCAAAAGGGGCTCTCCACTCAGCTTTGATAATGTTTTCAAGAGGCTACAATTCCGATTTCTTCTTTTAAATCTCAGACTATCTTATTTTGGGAGAACTGCCATGTGCAGCAGGGAGGTGCCTTTCTGATTGCCAGGGTACCAGATAACAGGGTCTGTAATACTAACATTATGAGATCAATTCTGTGAGCAAAGCAGCGAGGTTTACTCATCTAAGTGTTACTAAACTTTCACCAAAAACACTACTGCTGTACTTTTTTTTGATTATGACTCTTAAAAATAACACAAAAGTGGTTAGGTCAATTTGTACTTCTGGTTACTGGAAAACTGCCCATTAAAATAGTACTCGGCCAAGAAAAACCTAACTGTGTAAATTTATTCCCAATACTACATCAGAATGCTACACATGTTAACAATTTGCTACTTACTTTGGGGACTGTTCTCTGAAAGGAAATAACCAATACAATACTGACGCCAGAAGTCAAAACAGTGTAGGATAATTGTAAAATACTTCTTCGGAGAAGTAAACTATATTCAACTTCTCCTCCAGATATAAAAAGGAAAGTAAGAAGTAAGATCAAGTTTTAATTTTAAACCAATGTTACCTTTACAAGCTGACATATGGCTTGTGATTTAGTCCAGGATTTCTTAATAAAATAGCAAATCTAAATAATTTATTGCACTGACTGACGTGTAATAGCCATTTTTAAACAAATAGGTTTCACTGTTTAAACAGTAAACTATTCAATCATGGCTCTGACTCTCCATAAAATATTTGTATTGCAGACATGAACTGACCTTCTCTGCAGAATCCTGTTTTCGAGTTGAGTCACGCCCACGCAGGCTCTTAGCGCTGATTCCGGACTCGGATGTTTGCATTATTAACTGTGTGGCGAGGAATTGCTAAAAGAAAGAGTTGCAGAGAGAAAAAAAAAATGATTAGGGGATCGTTCTAAACCAGAACAGGATCAATATCGAAACAAGTTCTTGAACCAAATTCATATCATTATCCAAAACTATTTTCCTCCATTAAAGGAAGGAAAGGGATTTTTGGAGTTTTTGCCTTTCCCACTCTGGCTACCTAAATCACAATCAGAGATGATTTAGAAACTTTACCAAAAGTAAAGATTTCCATCTAAATAGTTGACCAGAGAGATAATCAGATTAGAGAATTAGTTGTGAATTCACAGAGGCTGTGAAATTGGCTAAACAATATAGACAACAAGTCAGGTATTATGCAAAAGACTTCACTGAAGCAAATGTTTGGAATCTATTCATGTATGGGATGTGGGTATTGCTGGGTGGAACAGCATTTATCCTCCTCCCTTAATTGCAGGGAAGGTCGTGGTGACCCGTCTCGGAACTGTTGCAGTTTGTTATGTAGATACATCCATTGTGTGATTAGGAAGGGTATTCCATGGTTTTGACTCAGTAATGGTGAATAAATGGTAATATAATTCCAAGGCAACATGGTGTGTGGCTTGAAGGGGAAGGTGCAGACGCACCTGTTTCTCACTGGTAGAGGTCGTAGGTTGGGAAGGTGCCAAGGGTGCCTGAGTGAGTTGCTGCATTGCACCTCAAAAGATAGTACACACTGAGGATTCAGAGGGGATTTCAGGAAAATCTGTTTCACAGGTGGTGGGAAATCTGGAATGCATTGCCTGGGAACGTAGTAAAGGTGGGAAATCTCACAACCTTTAAAAAGTATATGGATGAGTACTCGAAGTGTCATAACATTCAAGGCTATGGGCCAAATACTGGAAAGTGGTATTAGTGTAGAAATGTCGAAGCAGGCTCAATGGGCTGAAGGGTTTCTTCTGCGATCTGTGACTACTGCTACTGTACACTGGAGGTGGAGGGAGTGTAAGTTAGATTAAATTAACGGAGGACGGTTCAAAGGGAACTTGGAGCTATGTTTGACATTACATATGATGAAATAAAACAGAAAAAAAAAGTCCTGAGGTGTATGGTTCAGTGTTGTCAAATAGAAATTGCTGATGTGGTGATATCATTTTAGCTACATGTGCTAATTTCCATGCAAATTTACCTTACATACACTCATTTAATATTAGGTACATGTAGCCTGCTCACGTATTTTTACTTAAAATATTTATCAGACATCAATTAAAGCATTCAAGTATCAAAAAAAATTTGCTCACTCTTCTCTCTAACTTATTAGTTTATAACAATCATACAAAAAGGTTTTCTGAAGAAGGGTGTAGGCCCGAAACATCAGCCTTCCTGCTCCTCTGATGCTGCTTGGCCTGCTGTGTTCATCCAGCTCTACACCTTGTTATCTCAGATTCTCCAGCATCTGCAGTTCCTATTATCTCTGAAGCCATGTGAATATGAGCATTGAGATAATACACCCAATAATGATGACTACAATTCATTTTTTACTTTCTAATCAGAAATGTAATTATCCCCGTCTAGATTTCCATTTAGCCACATCTGCCTAATTGTTGAGATGTTGATCTCTATTTGCATAGCTAGGTCACAAAAACATATGACTTGCAGACTGTCGGAAAAGTCTACAATACACAGTTGAAACCACACTTAAATAAGCTGGGATCACATCAGTAAAAACATATATGTTTTGCAGCCATTGTATTACGTCACTCCACTGAGCTCAATTGTGAAGACTACGAATCATAAAGTTACTATCATAGAAAGTTAAGGTTAGGAATGGCAAAGTTAAGACTTGGACCTAATTCAGGTTAGTTGATCGACATATCTGCAACAAAGGATTTTTTTTATTGTACATGAGTTAGTCCAGCTACTATTTGAATGCAATTACATATGACCATTTACATATTTGAGAAATATCAAAAGTTGTGGATGTTCTACCTGAATTTGCTCCAAAACATCTCTCTGCATTTCTAATGCCATGTGATACACATCATGGTCAGAGCTATTATACATTACTGCATTCTGGAACATAAGCATTATGTCTCGCTGAAACTCTGCTGTTGTGCGGATTAAACCAGTCTCAATATTTTTCTTTATTGTAGATAAATCCATTGGTCTGAAAAGATGACATGAAACAGTTGTCAGTAGAAGCAGTCTTCTTCGCTATCATTATCACTAAAAGAATAATTTCCTGATGATGCTATTTAATAATCATTCTTTACACTGATAAAACTGCAACGAAACCTCAGTATTATGTATAACACTGAATTTTCTATTAATTCTTATCACTAAGATACATCAAAAAACACTGATTATTTTCTTTGCAATTCTGTAGCTTCAGGAGATGTCCATTGTTACAAAGCATCTTCATGTTATGTTCCCATGGTCCTGGATGATCAAAATGTTGCATTCTACATTTAGCTCACCCTGGTGCCTCACTGTCCAATTATCAAGAACCAAGCTGAAGTATATAAAACATGGTAGGGTCAGTTGCAAATATCTACAGAGATCCTTTTTGGTTTTATAACTTTACTACTCATGGATACACGATAGTGAAAACAAAAATTGAAGAATATTTCAAAATCTGAGCCACTTACTATTTCATGTATCCTGACATACTAAACAAAGGATATTTTAGTAGCACATGATTTTTATAAAAGAGTCTCTTACAGCATTTGGCTAAAATCACCCTTATCTTTCATCTACATGGTTCCTGTGGTCTCAGAATAGCAGAAACCTCCAACTCTCTGAAATACCCACACAAATAAACGTCTATAACTACAGTGCACCAATTCAGTGCACAGGATTTTGATATTTTCTGAGCTGTCAGCTTCATGCGGGTCAAGAATCAAACCCACTAATATCATAGAATCACGACAGAGCAGAAAGAGGCCATCAAGCCCATCAAGTCTGCACCAAGCTTCTGAACAGCATCCCACCCAGACCCAAACCTCTACCCTATCCCTGTAACCTGTAGTTATCATGGCTAATCCATTTTGCCCACATATCCCTGGGTGCTATGAACAATTTAGCATGGTCAATCCAGTTTACGTCAGCAAACTCTTCAACCAGAAATTCTTACAACTAGAGATGTTTAAAGCAAAAAAAGATGGAATAACAGTCCTTGTCTAAATATTAACTGACCATGTTCAGTTACATCCAAATTTCTGAACTCAAACTAAAACAAAAACTATTTCTTATTTGTATATACCACTCATTATTCCTCGAGTTGTAAGTTTCCAATTACAACCACAACAATTGATGTCAACATAGTACATCAGGTTGAATGAAAAGGAGGGCTCTTGTGGTGCAGTGGTAGTGTTCCTACCACCTGTGCCAGAGGTGTGAAATAACATCTCTGAACAGGTTAATTAGGAAAAAAACATCTCAGAGTGAAAAGGAAATATTAATCCGTACCACTTCATGCATACCATTGCACCAAAAATAGAATCTGTAACAATGCCATAGTATATCATTTGTTCTCACAGTTGCAAACCCCAAACTTCCAGGCAGCACTTCTCTACATCAATAAATCTCAGACTGAAAACTCAAATGTTGGGCTGTGCAAATGGCTCAGAAGTACTGCATTCTGGTATTCCAATAGTGATGCACAACTAAAAACTACACATTCTTGGATACTGGTACGTTTACAATGAAAACCTTATTAACAGTCTGCACATTTATTTATATACATACACACTTGCACATGTTTTCCCAATGGCTCGGTAACATGCAATTACCGTGCATTTGAAAGTTAAATGGTCATGTCTACATTTTTGCAAAGAAATTAATAGCAATGACTAAACCATCATTCTTTATGGAATGTTAATAAATAATTCACAGTGAAAGTTAACATGTTTACATGGGCAAAATAGCTTCATATAAAATTCATTAATGTTACAACAATTTTACAAAAGTTTTTCATTACAACCTAACTTTTTAGTTGATAACATTGACACCACAATCCCTTTTACAAATCAATTGTTTTAAGTATACTAGACTTTGTGTAAAGGTTTTGAAAACGGATAAAATCAGTACTGCCATTACTTGAAAAGAGCAACAGCAACAAAGAATTGTTTCATCAACCATAAACATACCATAAATAACTCAGCATAATTCAACTATTTTCGCAATACAGGTGCTTTGATGCACAAATTAAGGCTTATAAGAGAAGTTAGATTTGAATCTTTGGAATTCTCTACCACAGACAGGTGTGAAAACTCAATCATTGAGTCTACTCAAGACCGAGATAGATAGATGTCCATCTATTAAAGAGATCAAGGGGGATGGGAATAGTTAGGAAAATGGCATTGAGATGGAAGATTCATTGAATGGTAGAGAGGAAAAATGGCACACTCCTACTCCTATTTCCTATGTCTATATGAACTTGGATTGTGCAACCCTTTCAAATCTTTACCACCTTTAAGATAAAGTCTGAACAAAACTATTGTGCAAAATAATATGGACAACTTGAACAGTGTACTAAACAATTCTATGCATTTTATAGGCTGTTCTGTTGGCAAAATGTCTTTTACAAAACCTGCAGAACAATTAAGAATCTGACCTGTGTACAATGCTATGATATCCTGGGGCAATATCATCTGTCACTGGTTGAAGGAATACATTAGCATATCTGTAACAAGAAAACATTTTAGAAACAGACAGAAAATGTTTCAAAACAAGAATACTGTTCCACTCAGCATGCATTTATACATGTCTTGAAACGCACAATCAACTCAAAATCTCAACTCAAAATCAACACCAAAATCATAGTAGGTAGCTCAATGTTGTAATGTACAATAACTGAAGAATTTAGATTACAATTGTTAACTACAAGAAAAGAAATAACAGCACTATCTTCTGGAAATACACAAAGAGCAAAACAAAATCATTCAGGAAATATCATAACAAATCAACCACACTTAATTCCTGTTATTTCACCGCCAATATGATACTTTGCTGTTCAAAGTAAAACAGCAGACCAGAACCATAAATGAGATGCGGAACGAAAAAGTGAAAAAACCAGAAATGCAGCTGGAAAGCCAGCCAGTGAGACATAGCTAAGGACTTATAGAAGTAACCAAATTCAACATGGTGTTGTCAAAGGGAAACAGCATTTGAAAAATTTATTCGAGTTCTACAAGGAAGTAACAAGTAATATGGAAAAATGGAATCCTATGGATCTGGAGTACCTGAATTTCCAGAAAGCTTTTTAAAAGGTGCTTTGTAAAATGTTACTGTGGAAAATAAGAGCTCATGGTGTAGCGGGCACCACACTAGCATGGAAAGAGGATTGGTTAACTAACAGGAAAGAAAGAGTAGGCATAAATGGGTCATTTTTGGGTAGGCAAGCTATAATGAGTGGACTGCCACAGGGATCAGTGCCATTGCCTCAATTATTTACAATCAATATCAATGACTTACATGAAGGATTAATGCTAAATTTTCTGATGACACCAAGATAGACAGGACATATGAAGAAGATATAGATAGATTAAGTGAATGGGCAAAAATACAGATGAAGTGTAATGAGGGAAAACATAAACTTGTTCATTTGGGTGGAGAAGATAAACAAAGTATTCCCTCTCATAGGGTCATTATTCTATGAAATTCTCTTCCTCCGACAGCAGTGGAAGCAGGGTTATCTATTATTTTTAAGGATCAGCTATACAGATTCTGGATTGACGAAGGAGTCAAAAGTTATGGGGGTAGACAGAAAAGTAGAGGTACAATTAAACTGGCCATGATTGTACCAAATGGCAAAAGAGGTTCAAGGGGCCAAGGGGCCAACCCTGGCTCCTTATTCTCACATGTAATTAAAAAAAAATCAATTAAATTAAATTACATGAAATGATTTTTGAGGAAATAAATTTATTCAGATTTTACTCAGTAACTGACATTTCTCATTTTTAAAATTTATTCTTTCATAGGATCTGGGTATTGCTGACAAGGTCAACATTGGTGCTGATCTCTCATTACCTTTGAACTGAGTGGCTTGTTTAGCCATTTCAGAGGCTAGCTCAGAGTCAATCACAGAGCTAAAGGTCCGAGGTCACAGGTAGGGCTGGCTCGAGTAAAGGCAGCAGATTTTCTTCCCTAAAGGGCATCAGTCAACCAAGTTTATAGTCCAGATTCATTACCGAACTTAAAATTTTATCAATGTTGTAGTGAAATTGGAATCCCATGTCCCCAGAACATTGGACCGTACCACTGAATTAAATATCCAGTAACATTATCACAATGCACTGTTTCCCCCAAATGTCCAGAATAAGGATTTAAACAAATAAAGTATTTCATGGTAATATGATTAAATTTAGTCAAATTAATTGTCTTTTGTTTCTTTTAATACCTTCAAGAGCACTTTTATTTGAAGATGAGAATTTAGGAGGCATCGTTCGTAAATTTGTGGATTACACCAAAATTGGTGGTATAGTCAACAGTGAAGAAGATTACAAAGGGATATTGGTCAACTGGGCCAATGGGCTGAGGAGTGGCAAATGGAGTTTAATTTCAATGTGAGGTATTGCATTTTGGTAAAACGAACAAGGGCAGTACTTGTATAGTTAATGGTAGGGCCCAGGATAGTATTGCCGAACTACGGGCTCAGGTACATAGTTCCTTGAAAGTTGCGTCTCAGGTAGACAGGATGATTAAGAAAGCATTTAGCACGTTTGCCTTCATTGTTCAGACCAGAGTATAGGAGCTGGGATGCCATGTTGAGGTTGTACAGGATGTTGGTGAGGCCACTTTGGAGTACTGTGTACAGTTCTGATCTATAGGGAGGACATTACTAAATTGGAGACGGTTCAGAAAATATTTACCAGAATGTTGCTGGGACTGGGTGGGAGGGGGAGGGGTTGAATTCTATGAACGGGTTGGGACTCTTTTCACTGGAGCATAGGACGTTGAGGGGTGACCTTGCAGAGGTTTATAAAATCATGAGGGGCATAGATAAAGGTGAATAGCAAAGGTCTTTTCCTTAGGGTAGGGGGAGTTCAAAACTAGAAGGCATATTTTTAAGATAAGAGGAGAAAGATTTAAAAGGGACCCGAGGGGCAACTTTTTCCATACAGAGGGTGGTTCTTATGTGGAATGAACTGCCGGAGGAAGTAGTAGATGCAGGTACAGTCACAACATTTGGAAGATATTTGGATAGGTACATGAATAGGAAAGGTTTGGAGGGATATGGGTCAAATACAGGCATGTGGGACTAGTTTAGTTGGGAAACTTGGTTGGCATGTGTGACTTGGACCAAAGGGTCTATTTCCATGCTGCATGACTGTATTTTAGCACTTCTTGAAAACCTGAGCACAGGCTTCATATTTTGCCCAGAGCTGCAACTTAGATGAACAGAGATCCTACAATTTCAACATCCACACAAATTCTCTGGAATAACATTTTTGCTATGTACAACATTTCTCCAACAAAACCTTAAAGCTTTCTTGCAGATTACTGAAGAAAAGGTAGAGCGAAAATGTTAAAATATTTATTCATGAAAACTTGTTTATCTGAGTGAAGCAAAGCTTTTCTGATGAAGGGTCTAGACCCGAAACGTCAGCCTTTCTGCTCCTATGATGCTGCTTGGCCTGCTGTGTTCATCCAGCCCTGCACCTTGTTGTCTCGGATTCTCCAGCATCTGCAGCTCCTACTATCTCTGTTTATCTGAGTGTTTGTGTGAAAGAGTGTCAGAAAGAAGATGCAACCCAAATTTGAACCTAACAATGTGGATGCAACCCAATTGCAAGATCATATCTTTCCGTTTAACCTATAATTATTTTTTTTGAGGATGATGGGCAACAGTATTTGAGTAGAGTTGTTAAGAAGATTGGAGTAAGAAGCAAACAATTACCTTTGAGGGGGTTTTCAAGTAGCATCCCAATTAACAGCAGATGGCAGAGCATAGCAAATGGCAAATATATTAGACAACACTCCTCCACAAAGACCAAGAATGGCACAAACCTGTGATTGGCAGCTGCTCTCCATACCAGCATAATAGCCTTTTTCCAGATTTTCTGAGCTTGAATGGCTTCTTGATCTTCACTACAGACTGAACTAGAGAAAATAAAAATGGAAAACTAAAGTACATACTTAAAAAAGGTTGTAGATATCATACAATCCATCTGTACCTCCACAGAAGCATTTCATCAGCCCTACTCAATTTTATTTTTTACATTTATCTGAAGCAGCTCTTACTTTTCTTCAGCAGCACTGTGATTAAAACGCAATCAAAAAGTTGCTGAAATAAAAAGATTTAATGTCTTTTAAATAACACCATAAACCTCAAAATGTTGCTATTAAACTGCACGTAACACGACACTGGTTCTTGCCAAAACATTTGTTTTCCTACAATGCTCCATGTGCAACTTTATCATGTTATTTTTTCTAATATATTAAGTTCTTAATGAATCCTAGCAAACTGCAAAAAGTGGATGAAAGTTTGCTGTTTCTATAAAACGAGATAATGAACTGGAAAACAAATCAAGATTTTGACGATGACATTTTTATGAAGCATCTTTAATGTCGTAAGGTGCTCGACAGGAGTATTATAAAACAAAACATGACAGAGTTGCAAAAGGAGATCAGAAAAGAAAAGCTTAATTAAAGAAGTAGGTTTTAAGAGGTTATTTAAAGGAAGAAAGTAAGGTAGAGACACAGATGTAGTGTGGGTATTCTAGAGCCTGGATCTAAGTCACCGAAAACACAGTCAGCCACTAGTATTGGGACCGAGCAAAATTGGGATGGAAGCCAGAATTAGAGACGTGGGGTTAGAATGTGGAGACCAGTCATCATGGTCAGGTCTAGGGGGTAGTGAATGAATGAATGAGGATTTTAGCAGCTAATGTGCTGAAACTAAGGTGAAGTCGGACAATGATGCAGCCAGAAATAGGCAATTTTAGAGACATTTGCACTCTGGGGGTGGAAGCTCATCTGGGTGAAATATGACACCAAGGTTGTGATTTCTGCCTTCAAGTAAAACTTTTACCACACTTGGGCATTGATTAAAATTGTACCAGAGTACACTGATGAAGTACAGTGAGCTGGGTTGTTGCAAAAGTTGTCTGGTGCAAGGCTAAGCAAATACTGATTTGATCATTTTAAGTTGAAAATCAAATGATACCCTCCATAAAGGTGTAGAACAAAATAGCTGAAAAACTTACAATTGTGAGGAAGCAGGGCTGCTGGGTATTGAATCAGCAAGGACTGAAGACTGCAAATGTGCATTATGAATACTGAAGCCATCATCACTTTCACTGACAGGTGGCTCATTGTCAGTTTCTGACATATAGACCTCATTCGGTTCCTCTTCCCTGGCCTCATCCACACTAGCAGCTTCACTGGCTCCATCCTCCTCTTTTGGAACAAGCATCTCTTGCAGCTGTGTACCATACATACATCCATTATTATGTAGAATACATGCTTGCCAGTATAATGACATCTTTTAACACAATACTCATCATTATCACAATGCAGCGACTACTTATATTGCTACATATATTTTCTTGTCTCCACCAGACAACCCAAACTCTAAATGTTGAGTCTTGTTTACAGCACATAAATCTGAAAATTGTTACCGATACTAATGGAACATGTAATGCATTTGCTTGACAAGCCCCTGTATACTACTTAATACAAACACTAGACATCAGTTTTAAATGAGGTAAAGCTTGGCCAAAATTGAAGAATGCTATCCTAACGTACTAAGCCCTCAAATACTGATATTTCCATCAGTAATTGCAGAGTTACAATGCATACTTTGAACTTTATGACTTTGAAGAAATACACTGAATATTACAATGGAAATCTGCTCTTTTTCCAGACAACACCGATCTGTCGTTGGATGCTTTTTTGATTCATTCATGGGATGCGGGCATAGCTGGCTTGGCCAGTGATTTGCTTATCCCTAACTACCCTCATACACTAGATTAGGTAACAATGACAGATTTTCTTCTGTAAAGGAAGTGAACAAAATGGGTTTTGAATGGACAACAATCGACAGAGGCTACATGGTTGTCATTAGGCCATCCTTTCATTCCAGATTTTTACTGAATTCAAAAACTTTAACCACCTTGTGATGGAGAAATTCGCAACTATGCCTCCAGAGCATCAGCCGGAGTTTCTGGATTAGTTGCCCACTGACCCAACCATTATGCCACTTCCAGCCCCGGAAACTGTCACCTTTGCTTGGGGAATCTAGTGAAAGGAGGAGAAATTTCTTCACTCAAAAGATTGTGAACCTTTGGAATTCTCTACTCTATAGCGAGCTGTGGATTCTATATCTTTGAATATATTCGAGACAAAATGCCAACTATGGGAACCAAGGGATATGGGGGACAGTGCAGGAAGATACTGTAGAAGATAAAGATCACCAGTAGCCTTTAGGAAAGGAAACTGCCATCCTTACCCCGTCTGGCCTACATGTGACTCCAGACCCACAGTAAGGTGGTTGACTTGTAACTGCCCTCTGGGCAATTAGAGATGGGCAATGAACGCTGCCTAGCCTGCGACGTCCTCATCCCATGAATGAATAAAGAAAAAAAAATTTGATGAAGCCAGAATCGATATCACAGTGGGTACAAATTTTGGTTAACTTGCAATCGATAAAGGTTATTACTCATTCACGGTCCGAATCACAGTGTGAGATTATACAAGTGATGATGTACAATACCTTGATATGGCTCTTTATAACTACTCCACTCTCTTCCTTTGAGGAATCTGAATTTTTTAAAAAAAAATTCTAGTATCAACTTTAATGTAATTATAAAATTATTATTCATTTACAACATACATAAACATCCTATTTGAACATGTTCCATTGAGAAAGGTCGCGGTCAATAAAAAGACAAAGTAGTATGACTATGCCCAAAAAACTCAGAAGATCTGGCAGCATCTGTTGAGAGAAAAAATAATAGATCATGTTTAGAGTCCAGTGACCCTTTGTTAGAACTGACAATTGCTGCGAAAGGGTAGTATTTATGTTGATGAGGGGGTTGTGGCAGATAGGGCCCAGACACTAACAGTGAGAACTAGCAAGAGAGGGCGAACAGAGTCAGCGAGAGAGACAGCAAGCAAGAGACGAGGTGAGGGGTTTTTTTTTTAAAACTTACGATAGGTCCAGAAATGAACGGTACGTACAGTGGTAGCGAACAGTGTTAATGGTCGACTGTACTGGGAGCAACACATATAAGACAATGTCTAGGGATGGGGGGAAAGGGCAATAAACAGAGTAGGGTATTCATGTTTTGAAATTGTTTAACTCAAATGTTGAATCCTGAAGGCAACTCGGCAGAAAATGAGGTGCTGCTCCTCCAGCTTGCATTGAGCCTCACTGGAGCACTACAGCAGGCCTGAGGACAGAAATATTGGCCAGGGAACATGGTGGTGCATGGAAGTGGCAGGCAACTGGAAGTTCAGGGTCAATTTTACAGAACGTGGTGTTCGACAAAGTGGTCACCTTGTCTGCATTTCATCTCTCCAATGTACAGGAGACCACATTGTGAGCAATGAGCACAGTGGGCTAGATTGAATGAAGTGCAGGTAAATCACTGCTTCACCTGGAAGATGTGTCTGGGGCCTTGGATAGTAAGGAGAGCGGAGGTAAATGACTAAGTGTTGCAGCCTCTGTAATTGCCTGGGAAGGTACCATGAACGTGTAGGGAGGTATTAGGGGTGGAGAGGATGGGACCAGAACATCCCTAGGGAATAGTCCCTGCGGTATGTTAACAAGGGAGGTGATGAGAATGTGTATCTGGTGGTAGGGCTCTTTTCCCACCTCATTTAAAAAAATCTTTCTGTAAAATTCTCATAAGAAACAATTAAATTCAATAGAAAATATATGCATGAAAGCAGAGTTATCAAATGGCTTAAGAGGTTCTTTGAGAAAGTGAGGATGGTTTGCCAAGATGACACAGAAATGGAGGACATTGGTTCACATCTGAAAATATTCAGAAGATTGGTTCCTAATTTTACCAGCACTGGCAGGTGAAATGAGCCATAACCTACTCAAGAGCAATTATGACAGACAATTAATGAAAGCCTTGTCAGCAATGGTCATGTCCCATAAATGAAGAACAAAAAAACGAGAGGCCAGATGTCTTTCCATTGAGAAAAGAAACTCCATGGCAACCAATTCTGTTGAATGGTGAATGAGTGTCACAAGCTACAGTGAAACAAATGAAATGGCTGGATGAAGGACTTTTTTTAAAAAATTCAGTTGTGGGAAATAGGCATCGCTGACTGGTTGATGTTTCACTAGCCTCCTTCAGTCACAAACAGATCTGATAAACTTTCCAGTCCACTGACCTAGAATTTCAGACTGTCCCACATCATCAGAGCCACTTTTGTTCTGAATAGTGATCCTGGGAGAAAGTTGTCCGATTTCCTCAGAGGTACTTTTGCTGCGTGCGGTGCTCCAGGGCGACGGATGTGATGGTTCTTCAGACGTGCTTTTACTTCGCATGATGCTCCGAGGTAAAGAATGCTCCAACCCAAGTGTCTGCAAAGGAAGGAACAGACACTTACTGGACAAAACAAGAGGACTGTACCTCTTTCGCACTATGTATTTCTAAAAGGGGAGTTGAGCTGCCGAACTGATATTTACTCTTTCTCAAAACTATTAGTTTAATCAATTCTCTACTAAAAGGCTTAGAAGCAATTTTTAATAGCGAAAGACTATTGAAATAGAACGAGAAATGCATTAAAGGTTGGTTAATAAACATGTAAGCATTCCCAGAGCATCAGAAGCAAAGCCGAAATAAGATTAGATTTCAGATGCTGATATAGAATTGGCACTGAAATCCCTGAAGGCCCTTATATCTATATTGAAACACATACAACATTTAGTAATTTTATAAAAGAAACAAAATGATTTTGTTCTTTAAATGTAAAAAAAAGTAATGTTCTCTTCTTTTCATACAGGAGCGGTGATATGTTTCCACCCTGCTATCTTCATTGACGACAGGTTTGCAATTAAAGTAGTCCCAGTCAGGATACAGTTTTGAAGTGTCATCATAATTTTGCCTGTTGTTTTGGATAATAATAACTTGATTTACTCATACTCCTACTTCTGAGCAAGGCTGGAAGCCTTTCCTCAACAAAGTTAGCAGTTAGGCTAAAGAAACAGAAGATACCAATGCTCAAGTAACAAAATTACAAATGAAAAATACTAATCAAAAATATCAAAATACCGCGCAAGATATTTTCTTACACAAATTAATCTGCATATTTAATTTCACTCATAAATGGAAAAATGTCAGAAAACTGCCTCCAAATGCAAATGTCTATCTAAATACTTACACATTCCAAGAAATTCTGACTCAACCACTCTTTCAGGCAGCATTTCAGACTCGCACCACCCTCAGTGAAAAAAATTCAACTCTTTTCTTGGCCTTCTACCTATTACCTTAACTCTATGGCCCTTATTACTGACTCTTCTGCAAATGGGAAAATTGCCTTCCTATCCACCCGATCCATACTCTTCATAATCTTATACACCACTATCATCAAGTCCCCTATCAATCTTTGCTGCTGCATGGAATATCCACTCTATCCCCAAATCTCAGACCCTACAACCCAGAGGGACCCTGATAATTCTCCTCTACACCCTCTCGAGTGCAGTCCTTCCTAAAATGTGTTGACCCAGAACTGCCACATAGTATTCTAGTTGTGGCCTAGTATTTTGTAAAGTTTCAGGATAACCTTTTCTCTTGTATTATATGCCTCTGCTAATAACGGAAAGTATACCATTTGGCTTCTTTACCAATCATCTTGATTGGATATGCTATGACGCGCTTCTGCGGCAGGTGGGACTCAAACCTGGACCTTCCGGCCCAGAGCAGAACAACTACCACTGCGCCGCAACAGCTCATGTTAGAAATTAAACCTCCTGACACTACTGCACCTCAGTTTCATTAAGTCCATTAACCCTAACTAATATCCTTCAACTATATATAATTAACATTGCTCATATTCTAAAAACAAATACAGCTTCTATACTGAATCAATATGTTGATAGAAGAAATAAAAAGACCAATAGAAAAAGTAGCAAGTTTTTTTTTAAAATAAACTGTGAATGTTGAGGAATCAATTCAATACTACCTGACTTCACCTTTCTCAACAACATTTCAGATTAGAGACTGAATCAGGGCAACACTGTTTCAGCCTATTTGAATTTCCTTTAGTAATAAACAAGGGACTTTTCTGGCACTTGTTCTTTTAAAAATATCCAGTAAAGCAGCCACTATTGCAAATGCCAACTTACCACTGGTGTGACTCTAATATTAAACTTAACATTAAAATCATACTGTTTAGATGCCCAAAGTTCTGTCATTTACGTTCTACTTTCTTACCTCTGTTTTCAGTCCACTGTCTGGGGAATTTGTTGCGTTTCTAACACCCAGTATCTGTTGTGCATGACCTGAATTTGACTCTTCTTCCTGTTCTTGCTCTGCCTTCACTTTTTCTGGCAACTCTTGCTTAATTGCTTTGAAAGTCAGTTTTTCCTCAGTTCCCAAACCAGCCAACACTTGAGATTCATCACTAGGTCGGTGTTCGGATTTATGAGTCTGCTGCTGGACCTCTTCAGCTTCCTCCTTTATTACCTGCTCTGCCCGAAACAGGGAGGCAGCATCTCCTTCAGTGGCAGCTAGCTGCTCTCCAATATCATCAGGGGGAAGATTTATCAGTTCTGCTGCTTCCTCCACCTATAAAACAATAGATTACTGATCAGCTTTTTGTATCAAATTCTGCAGATCCCAGGTTACAACCAGTTGTCTTTCTATTGTTCTCCCAAGTAATCTTACCCTTCAGGTGAGAAGAGCATATTATTTAATGCAACAAAACATGCACTTCTGGAACCCGGGCCAGCTGACAGCCGACAGAAATTTGTTCCGCAGCAGACTTCAGATTTTGAAAACGTCTCTCAGGCAACTTTGCTTCCCCATACTGTGGTAGAATGTGGATTTCTTGATCTTGGATAATGAGTCCATTCAATACGCAGCAGTCCGCTCAAAGCTGGTGAAAACAGCATCAAAATAGAACGCCTGTCTAATTTCTAAAACAGAACTCATAGAATTTGCTCCCCATTGCGCCCTCACTTTTGAGTTTTGAAAATTGCTATGTTCCCAGAGCTGTGGTGTGAGGGGAACAAGGGGACCTGCTGTTTAGAATGCAGCTCTTTAAGTAATGAGCACTATTTTTTTGTGGGGTTTTGCAGGACAGGACTCAGGCTTCAAAGATGGGCCACGCCTAATATTAAAAGATACCAGGATTTAAAAGGGGCCTCACAGCAGTGAGCACTCAGTTAGAGCTCTATAACAGCTACTGTGACCCATATTTTGGGAAGCCCTACTTTAAAGCAATGGCATTTGAAATAAGGAAGAGCCAAAAAGAAGGGAACAAAATATTGTTTTAGAAGGAAATAATTGTTTACCTTCTCTTCAATGATTGCTAGGATGTCTGCCTGGTTGCCCAAGCTCAGCATATCTGTATAATCAGATACCCCAGTATCTTCGGTGTCTTCAAGCTTTGGTTGATGCTGATCTGCAATGCCCTCTCTTGTTCTCGTAATCTGCAAACTGCCACCTGGTAGACACTTGCTTTCTCCAGAGTCAATTAACACAGAGAAGCCAGCCAGATCTCCAGATACTGATAGAGATGGCTGTTCCTCACAGCTCTCCACCTGAACACAAATGGTGGTTTCTTCAACTGCAAAGATAAAACATCAGAAAAAAAAAATGATCCTCCAAAAATGAATACATCTTCTGTATTTGCAACCAGGCATCCTGTAGAAAGGACATTTCATGATATGTTTTAATGATGCAGTTAGCTTTTTCAAATATTTTATAGAGTACATTGGAAGCATCTAGCAAAATGCAATGGCACTCTGAAATTGAAATCCTTTGAGATATTTAAGCTCATTTACTCTGGCTGTTGTCATGAATGGGCCATAAACAAATTAATGTGAAAACTACAAATAAATAATTTCCTTAGTACATAAAGTGGCAGAAACCTTGGAGAAAAGAATCGAGATGTTCTCCAATAAAAAGATTCTGCATATAACGCAGGGTGAGGAAGGCTTGCTTCAACACCAAACATTCGAGATATAATGTCCTACTTCTTCTTCCTTCCCTGCTGAATAAGGAATTTGTTTCAGTTAATAAATCTCAAAATCCATTCAGATGAAACCCTGGTTGCCTAACCAAACTACTTAGCTAGTTATGGAACAATGCGGGCTTGCAAAGGGGAAAGTGTACAATTTTATCCAAGATCCTCCCAGGAGATTCTTCATTCTTTAATACCTTCTGAATGTTTACCTCATATCAAATGTCTCATCAGAAATAAATTAAAGCACAGTTAAAATTCTTTAAGTTTTGCCAAAAACAAGATGAAAGAGAGACTCGGTGTCAGTCAGTGGCTTATTTTGTTTCAGTATATTACCAAAAAAAAATCTGTAGCTCATTTTTCTCCCAAGTTATTTGCCTAAATTTCTTTCAATGTGCTGCACAGTTCATAGTTCCAGTTGGGAAAAATCTCTGAAGACCTTCTTACAGGTCTCTGGCACTGTCACCTGAACTGACTAGGATAGCCCTCCCACCCAAATCTTCCTCATTTCCTACAGGGAGATGCTTTGTATTAAATCAATATCCTCTATGGAGAGCAACTGGATGAGGAAACAACTGGTCTGAGAACTGCAGGAATTATCCTCAGTTGAAGGTTCAACATGCAATGTCACTGTGTCACATTTTAAGGTTATTTAAAAGAAGTAACACAAAGTCATTGAATATGAAAGGCAACTATTAGTGCAAACAATTACCTTAAAAAGTAATCAATTGCTGACGGTGATTTTGCATCGAGCCCACATTCTCTCTAAAATAGTTAAAGATTGTCCCAAAAAGCCATGATTAATTAACAAATTCCCAAAGTATCAGAGTTCCAGATAATCGTACTTGCAGCGTATTTAAGTAAAGGGGGGAATCTCAGGCTGCATCTAAAATCACCATTTTACAGAATCAAATTGAAAACTGTAGGAATGAGATCTTTTAGTTATAAAAGGTCTTAAAGCTTTAGCTTTTAAAGCATTTTGAAAGGGATGGTTTAATGTCCCTCTACTGACAAGAGATTTATTGTTGTGCATGAATCCAAGTTATAGCCATTTCAGACTCAGAATAGTGCCGATGCAGCTTGTAAAACACAGTACACTTCCATACATGATTCTCTTTCTTATGGTTATAGGGTGTGTAGTGTATCGGTAGGATGATCAAAATTATAATGATTGTCATCAAGCCTCTCCAACAGAAATGTGTATGGGTATTCTTTACGGATTTTTCCTGATCTCTATTCTTTCTTAGTTTTCCTGAGTCACACACCATGCTCATAATAGCATGAGGCTGGTTTTTAAACATTTCACCCATGTGTCTCTGAATCTAGTTGCTGCCGATGAAAGTACGTTGCCAATAGTATAACTGGAATTCCACTTATCATGCTAAAACACTGAACTTCAAAGCGAACAATCACTCAGCCAGCCTTGCAAGAACATGCTTTCAAGTTACAGCACTTGAAAATATTCCCCTCTACAACCTCTCCGGTATATGGTTCCCAACCACGACAGTCAATGGTTCAAACTACCGCTGTTAATCTCAGAAAATAAAGCACAGATGAAGCCATTCAAATAATTGCACCAGTGTTGGCTCAGGCTGTTTGATGAAAGCTAATTGTTCTATTATCCATTTCTCTCCTCTGCCCTCAAATCTCTTTGTTCTTTGTAAATACTTATTCAGTTTCTTTTTAAACAATGCACCCACTCCCTCAGTACTTGTGATCATTCATTTTGTACTTTAACAACATTCTGTAAGGTGAAAAGTCATCTTTTACTTACATTGTGTGAAAATTTGTTTTGTCTTCTAATTTTTCCAAAGATCTATGTCAATAGCATGTATGAATATTTTCAATGTTGTGTCAATATTTTAATTTTTTAATTGCTATGATGCCCTAGATAATAGGATATTTAAACTATTTAAAGTTTCTTTGCAGTCTTAGCTGTGATCAGCAGACAGCACTATGGCGTATCTGATGTGCCAAACTGCCTGTATGAAAGTTCATCCTATCTTTAGTTTTTTAAAAAGTGCTGTACATTTTTACTCAATTAAGATATATTGGGCCACTACCAGCTCATTCCCCCAAAAGCTGAGAATATAAAAATTTATAATGGAAAAAGCTGACCTGAAGTGCATAAATGCTGACACAGTATTTTGTATATTTTATTTGTAGACCTTTTTTTAAAAAAAATCACAGATTTTGAGATTATGTAGAATTATCTGCTGTCTTCATATCCCACTTCATTTCAACCAGGGCTTCAAAGTGGGATCACCGGCAACATTTTGAGGTTGCGAGTTCTGAAACAGCAATGACTGACATGGAGCTCCAACCAACTGCTAACGGCCGCATAGACCCTTTAAATCCTCACAGTTTTTTTTAAATAGGGGACAGGCCCAACTGGCTGATCTTTGAGGCCTAATGACTGTTTCGGAAAACCCATTGAAAAAGTATAACCTTGCTATCTAAGGATTCTGTGAATTAATCAGATTCCATCACCCACCCCTCAGGGATCTCTTACCCCTTCTCTTATCACCAATTCCCAAGTGTCACATAAATCTTATCCCTACCTTACCACCCATCATAGATCTCTCACTCTCACCCCAAATACCCACTCAAAGATCTCACCATCTCCCATCTCTCCGATCTGAGCTCATGGCAATTTTCAAACACCAGATTGGCAAGCAAGGCTCCAATTCTAATTATCAACTCACAAACGTCTTACATAAATTCAATATCCATTTCATTGGTTTTCTTCTTCAACTCTAAACATTTAAAATACAGAATTCTACTTGCCTTTCTGTGGCCTGTTCTAACTGTACTCACACCTTCAAAAATCCATATCTGCATGAGGGGAGCTGAAAGAAGTTTATAAAATAATGACAGGTATAGATAGAGTTTATATAGTTGTCTTTTCCTTAGGATGGGGAATTTCAAGACTAGGGGACACATTTTTAAGGTGAGAAGAGAGAGTGATTAAAAAAACATGAGGGACAAATTGTTTACGCAGAGGGTAGCTCACATGTAGAATGAATTTCCTCAGGGAGTGGTGGATGTGGGTACAATTACAATGTTTAAAAGACATTTGGATAAGCGCACGAATAGGAAAGGTTTGGATGGATATGGGCCAGGTGCAGGCAGGTTTAGTTTGAGATTATGTTCAGCATGGACTGCTTGTACCAAAGGGTCTGTTTTTGTGCTGTATGGCTCCAGATTTCTCCGCTGTTTCAACAATTACTACTAACATATTTCAGTTACTAAAATTCCCAACAAAAGGTAAAAACCCTCATTACATGAACCAATATTACCTAACAGCTCTTCCACTGAAACATGCAACCAATTATACTGCACTCCTACTTACAAATTATATTTTCAAGAAATTTTAAAATTTTCTATTATCATCAAAAGGAAAGAAGTTGTCCATTGGAAAATTTACAAGGAACTAATGAAATCATTCATTGGGAATCACAATGCTTTACCTCCCGTAAGATCTCCAAATGTCCCCTACTCAAAACGACAGAAATTATGGAACACAAGCACAAAGTCCATCATAATTTGAGGATGAACTATGGATCAAGTCACACCCAGTTTCGTGAAGAAAACCTTAGACACAAGACTGATCTCCAGCTTCACAAGCAAATTAAAGCCATTTATCTATGTTTTATTCTACAATTTTCTTTGATATGTTATTTAGGCCGAAGGATAGTACCACATCCATAGCAGCATTAACCAACTAACTTTTCTTATAAAGCAATATTTTGATATTTTTACGAAAAGTGTCAAATTTCTATATTGCACGGTATAATAGACTCTATTTGTACTATTAAATTCTGGTGTTGTATCCATATTGTAGATCACTGTTTTTCTTACTGCAAGGCATTTGAAATTGGAGTTAGTGGTGTTAAGCCAACATGACTGGAATGTCAGCATTTGGCAAGGTGCTGAAGAATCTGAGTTTTGTGGAATGGATAACTGTGTAAATCTATTTAGTTTTATTCTAGTTTGATAATACACCTCCAGAATTACTGTATGTTGCACATGCCCAACTATCATAAATGAGCAACAAAAACTGAAATTGCTGCAAAAGCTCAGCAGGTCTGGCAGCATCTGTAAAGAGAAATCAGAGTTAACGTTTCGTGTCTGGTGACCCCTCCTCAGACCCTTCCTCTGAAACGTTAACTGATTTCTCTTCACAGATGCTGCCATACCTGCAGAGCTTTTCCAGCAATTTCTGTTTTTGTTTCTGAAATACAGCATCTGCAGTTCTGTTTTTACCATAAATGAGCTTTCAGTAATATAGATTGTTAATTTTATTCTCTTTCTACAATATATCCTTTCCCATTTTCCCAATTTTTTGATCCTTTTATATGAAGTTTTCTCTCCTCATGCAATGAAACTCTATAATTAGCTGTAACAACTCAGTGATCTTGGGATAAGGAATAGTTCTCGCTCCAACTTCACCTTATCCAAGCATTCAGCCTCTGTCTTTTTCTGACAGCATAACTCACTCAAATTCAACTCTCTGATTTCCAAGAGTCACTGTTCTATTATTCTGCAACAAATCACAATGAATCCCCAAAGCAAAGCATTAACACACAACATTGCATTTATTGTGTTTACGTCAAAAATTGTTCTAATTCGGATAATTTCATTGCGCAAAAGTTTTTCTGTAAAGTTTATCAGATGTGCAAAATTTAGATTGAGGATGCAAAGCTTTAGCTAGACATGGTACCAAAAATCTTTCATTAAGTAAGTACCACGGATAAATAATGGTTAAAAGTCAAGAAGGCATGGACAAAATAAAATGTTCCACTCAGCCTTGGATGTTTGTATTATTTTTTGAGATTTTCATTTCAGAGCACAATGTATGGTGTCACTGGTTATTCATTCTAGCAGAGTTTCACGTGGTGCTAACGAACCAAAAGAAACTTGTCCATATTTGTCAAACGTTTGTTTGAAACCCCACAGTTTGCCCATTTCTTTTTTTACCTTCTTCAAGATCCAGATCTACAAGTTTGGGACAATCTTTAAAAGGAATAGGGTATTAGGTTACTGCACGTTTTCTGAGATCTGGCAGCGATAGGTTAGACTGCCTTGTGACAGACCTGTCCCGCTGCTCTCCTGCGTCATTGCTGTGGTGCCGGCTGAACACACCTGGTCAGCTAGATTTTGCAAAGGTTTAACTGGAGGTGGTGCCTCACTGCTGATAGTAGAGAAGGGAACGAAAGGTGGCGTGAAGTGCGAGAGGCCGGCCTCCAAAAGCCTGGACAGAGTAGGGGCTCCTAACACAAAGTGCACAAAGAAACATACAAGGCTAATGCAGACAGGCAACAGCAACCATTTTCAACACACAAGTTCTTCATTTAGTTAAATGACATCTAAACCCCCAAGAACCAAACTTTCTAAAAGTTTTTGATACAGAAGCATGTAGTAAAGACTCCAATGAAAACAAAGTACAGCACAAAACAATGATAACAGCCAGACCTGTCCTAAACAATACCATATATACAAAAGCAACAAGGTCTGTCCCTTTCTGTGCTACTGTAAACAATCTAAGGTACCAGATCTGTGTCTACTTCTGGTGGAGTGCTGTCAGGGTTATCGTATGGAATGGCAATGACCTAATCTATTCCTAACTGTTCACAATGATACTGTTTAGCAGTATCACTTATCTATGATATCGTACACCAGAGAAAAACAGATGCAATCAACCACACAAAGTAAGAGACTGGAGGAATATAGAATGAAAGTGAAGAAATGAATCCTATTATTTATGACAAATAACAGAAAAAGTTAATTCTTTACTACCTGGCAAACCACAATGATTCTAGGATTGGGGAATAGGAAATGAAAATTATAACATTCACAATCTGCCGTCCCCCACCATTCTGTGATCAATTCCTGGGAGTTGGGTGCACATTGCCCAACCAGTAACATTCATTAATATTCCTCCGGAAGACAGTGAACAGAGAACTGGGACCGGGGGCAAATTTTACAAAACAAGAGAAATCTAAGAGTTGTTTCAAATGGTTAACATTCAAAAACACACCAACAACCTATAAATTGTCAAACATTCAGATACCAGAAATTGAAGCAGGGAATTCCAAATGAAACGATAGATAGGCAGCACATATCCAATTCAGAAAAGTTCAAGATCTGGAAGGGAACTTGCAAGTCATTGTGTTCTCATGATTTTTCTGTAAGACAAGTTACTGGTTCCATTTGGATGGGTCGGTGGGAGTGGGGGAAGTCATCCTTGTGGGAAGTGGCACTTGAAAGGAGTACCATATTTTGGTTTTGCAAAATAGGCACTTTTAGCTCTTTGCTTCTCTGTTTTTAAATTTGACAAATCATTGGTAATAAAAGAACAACACCTCCAATTACTGTCACGTTCCCTGTAGTATATTCTATCTAAAGTTTATAGCAACATGAAAGAAATTATCAATGGTAAGATCAGCACACTCGACAACTAAACTAGAGTATATGTTGCTAATGTTGGAGCAAAACCTGGGCCTATTTTGTGAAAGCGTCAGACTGGACAATGCAGATCTCCCTAACAAAGGGCATCCGAGAACAACTGAGCATTTCTAGTGCTGGCACATAAATTACCAGATAGAGATTAAATCCAATTTTGTAACTTGCTGTGATGGAATTTGAATTCATCTTAATCACAAAGCTATCATATCCTGCATCAATGTGATGACACAACACATTACGTGAACTAAAAATCATAATGGAGTTGAAAAATGAGCAAAAGTGCAAGTGTCAGAAAGACAGTGACATCAAAAGTGAAAAACAAAGTGTTTAAGAAATTTTTGGTCATTGCAGAAAGACATTTTGGGTGAGAGGAGAAGAGACAAATAGAAAGAAAGCGTGTGAAAGACAGAAATTGCAGATATTGCTACTATTTAGTTTTAAAAAAATTAAATCTTACATTCAGATCAACAGATTTTATTCAATGCTCCAATCTTAAAGACTGTTCGCTTCTAACCTTTTCTCTTAATACATTTTAACTTCAGGTTAAGTAGAGAGTATTATTGGAAACCAATCACTTTTACTATGAAGTTACAGAAAAAAGTCTGCCGACCAATGCCGGTCAACTTAAATCTCACCATCAACAAAAGCTGCATGCAGTGAATATATCAACAGATAATATTAAATTATTTCCAATTACAAACATAAGGATACTGAACCACAAATAGATTTATAATGTGTAAACAAAATTGGATAAAATATGTTGCTGCAAAGGAGATGCAACAAATATATGTCATATTTCTGCCGTATCTGACATTAAAATAGAAATACATAACAGTAAAACTGTCACCTGCAGGTGCCGGGGACACTGGTACATTGGACTGTAGCTCTGGAACATGCAGCGTTGACACACCTGCTCCCATTTCAACATGCACATTCGGACTAGCAACATGACCAGAATTCACCTGCAGCTCAGCTTCACTGACCTGCAAAAGGAAAAAGGAGAAAAAAAAATTCAATTAACTTTGAAGCAATGCAAATTCCACAAATCTTTACAATATGCCTTGAATATAACATTTGAAACCATCACTACTCAACGTACCTCATCATCTTTACAATCTTGGTGATATTCTGCTTAACAGATCACTTAGATACCTTAAAAATAAACTGGTGGTTACTTACAAGCCTAGGACTTGTAGGCAGGAGACTCCCTTTTTTCAGGAGCTCGGACAACAGTGGAGAGGGTGGAGGCGTGGCTTTCTGTCCCAATAACCTTTTCTGGGGAGAATCCTCCAGCACTGGAGTCAGGGGAGTTTCAAGATTTGTGGAGGTGACGGGAGTCTCAGGGGCTGAGATCACTGGAATATTCGGAGTGCTTCCGATGTTTATCGACACCAGCTGTACAAGGCAAAGAAAAATTCTTAACTCCCCTTTTAAATAAGCAAAAAGCACACATACCTGATAAAGAGATACTTTCAGACATGATGAGCACATCCTCAGTTCAATAGCCATCAACAGGAAAATCCAGTTTGGAGGAGTGCACAACGAAGAGAATCCTCATGAATATCAAACTACTAACCTAGACCTCCCATATTCCATTAATGCAACTCTTCAATGTCCACATGCAAATAATCATTTTGTAAATGTATTTGAGAGTATGGAGAACAGAAACTATTAAAGTACAGTCTGTCCCCTAGATTCCACTGCTGAAACAAAACTTATTTACATGCAAAACAGCCAAAGGTGCTTCATGGGAGTACTTATAAACAAAGTTTGACATTGAACCATATAAGAAAATATCACGGCAAATATTAAGGAACTATCAAGCAGCTGCTGGGATGTTCCACACACATCAACTGGCATTAGTTTCCACACATAGACCTCAGAGAAACAAATTACAAGGAATGTTAGTAGAGAGGTTTATGTAAAAGATTATTATGGCAGGGCTTATTCAGGCTCCAATGGTGGAGCAATTAAAATTGGGACAAAGCAAGAGGCCAGAATTCAAAGAAACACCACTATCTCCGAATCTTTTCTCAGTAGGGTGCAGGGCTGGAGGATGGCTGAGGCAATTGGAACATCTGAAAAGAAAGTTGAGAATTTCAAAATAAAAGCCAATATAGATCGGCAAACAATATAGATAGGTTAACAGGCGTTGGTTGATGTTAGGATAAGGACAGGGCTTTGAATGAGTTCAAGTTTACAAAAACTACAAATTGGGAAGCCAAGCAGAAGAGCACCATAATATGAGAGTCTAGAAGTAACAAAGGCCTGAATGGGTGTTTCAACAGCAGATGAATTGCTGCAGGGGTGGAGAGGGACAGGTTGGAGACGTGAAAACAAGTAATCTTGGTGACCGAGAGGATTCTGGGACCAGAGGTTCATTGTAAGGTTAAATGCGACACGACGATTGTGAAAGACCAAACAGTGATCGAAGAAAGGGTTGGAGTTGGTCCTCTCAATACTAGGCTGGAGTAAATTTCTGATCATCTTGTACCCATTTTCTCATCGTACATGTCTATTGTACCATGACAGAGACACACAATATTGTCAAGACAAGGATCTACACACATTTACAAATGGAAAGCTCACAAGGGCAGAAAGAAGGCTAAATTCAAAGTTTCAAAAACATTCAAAAGAATAAAAGACAAGAGAACCCACAATAAATAATTTAAAACCCTTCACTTGTTGGATCTTATCATAAGTGGTGTTTTCAATATATCTATTCATGGGATCTGGGTATCACTAGCTGAACTAGCATTTCTTGCCTATCCTAGTTGCCCTTGGTGGTGGTGGGTGAGCTGCCTTCTTGAATCACTGCAGTCCCTGTAGTGTAGGTAGATCCACAATGTCTTTAGGTAGATAGTTCCAGGATTTTGACTTGGCGATACTGAAGAAATGACAATATATTTTCAAGTCAGGATGATGAGTGGCTTGGAGGGGAACTTGCAGGTGGTGGTACTTCCATGTATCTGCTACCCATATCCTTTGAGATGAAGTGAGGCTGTAACGAAGTCAAGAACTGAGTGGCCTTGGGAGACCTCAAACTAAGCAGCAGAGAACTGGTTATTGCTAAACAAGTGCTGCTAGATAGCACCGTTGATGACATGTTTCATCACTTTACAAATGATTGGCAGTGCATTGATGGGGCAGTAATTTTTATAACAGTTATATGTTTAATAAATTAACATTTACACAAATGAAAAGTTTAATGGCTGCTTATTTAGTTTTCAGAATATAGTGAACAGATTTAAGAAACTTGATTTCCAAAACAATTTCACAAGATCATCATTCAAGATCGAAATTTACTTATTTGGCACTGAATAAGCCCATCAACATAAAGAAATTATGATGGCTATAAAAGGGCAAATTCTTCAAATGAATGTGACAAAACCATGGCAGATATGCTAACAACGTGTTAAAATTTAGCTTATAGCAGGCAGCCTTGGTCATTCTTTAATGCATGCTCATACTCACAGAGTGATGCAATGAGAGGCCCTGATACAAAACATTTGATACATTCAGTCACAAGATCTTATTATTATTCAGTGATTCAGCAGATACTGTCTTACAATAATAGAATGTGAATAAAAAAGTGGAGCAGGGAATGTGTTGAAGGATACGTGCCATTTATGAGAATTTCATGACACAAGACACATAACATTGTAGATAGTCAGCAGTTTAAGGGTTACAGCGCTGAAGATATTCAACTTAAGGGTTTGTGACTCTAGTTCCATTGTTTCGTGCTTAATACAATCAGTAAGGGAAGAACACAACGGCTAACTAAGTTTACAAAAGGGAAAAAATGGATTTGAGCTGGATCAAAGGGACAAAATGACTACCACAAAGGAATGTTTCATACATACACTATTGTGACTCTCCTCACTCGCCTGTGTCGTATCTGTAGCCGAGTAGTCTATTCCAGGAGAACTTGATTCTAGTGGGGACCGGATAGGCAAGCTCATCAGTCGTTTAGGCGCATTTTTTGCTGCTTGGCGGGCTACAACAAACAGAAAACATTTTGATCAATTTTTTTTAAAAAAAATTGAGATCATTTGTCTATTCTGCAGTTCTCTTCATAGTTATACACCATGCAGTGTTCAGTCAGAAGTACAGCAGCCAGGCTACATTATTCAGCTACACCAACTCAAAGTTGCTCTGCAGTAGCTACAAGTTAATTTCATTGGTGACAAGAAGATAAATCGAATGTAACATAAGACATAAATATGGAAGCGGGAATAGACAACACATCCTACAAAACAGCTCCGCCATTCGATTGATCCTGCCTGATGTGTGGCTTCGAATCCACTTCCTTGCCCACTCTGTATGTAGCTTCATTCTTGGAAATACAAGCAATCTGGCTCTTTCTGTCTTGAAAATACTCAATTGTGAATTATCCACAACCATTCCATGTCAAAAAAAAATTTCAAACATTCAAAATCCTGAGTGAAAACATTTCTTTGCATTTCAATCCTAAGTGATTGGCCCCTTATGCCAACTTGTGCCCTGTTCCATATTCTAAAACCAGCAACTGAAGCAATCTTTCAGTTTCTATCCGGTCAAGTCCTTTCAAAATCTTGTACGTTTCAAAGAAATCACCCCTCATTCTTCCAAACTCCAGAGTTCTGTAAAGACCCAATTTATTCAGCCTGTCATTATAAAACACCCAGGAATCAATCTAGTGAATATTCAAGGGCCACCTCCAATGCAATGTACCTTTCCTTAAATGTGGAACTCAACAGTTTTCCAGGTGTGGTCTCACTCAAGCCCTGCACCACTGTAGAAAGTTTGCTTTATTCTTGTACTTCAGCCCACCTGCAATAAGGATCAACATTTTATTTGCATTCCTGCTTGCATGCTAACATGTGTTTCTTCTATGAAACAGTTTCCTCTGAATATCAGCATTTATAATTTTCAGGCTTGTAAAAATATTCTGCTTTTTTATTCTTATCCAAGTAAATAATCTCACAATTCCCCATGTTATACTCCATTTGCCACCTTGTTAGTCAACTACTTAATCCGTCTGTATCTCTTTGCAGCCTGCACCATAGCTTACATCCCTATTTGTCTTTATTTCTTCAGCAAATTTAGATACATTACTCTTCCACATCTCTTCACCATCTATGTTAATGATTTAGGTGAAAACAAACATGCAGAACAAGCTTAAGTTAGAATTATACTTCCACAACTATGAAATATAAATTCAAAATGGAATAAGCAACAACTATAGAGACTAGAACTCTAAAAGCATTTATAAACGCAGAGGTGTTAGATGACAATTGTACCATGTAGCTGCTGAACAAGTTGTGTAGACGAGTGAAGCTTTATAACTGATCATACTTTCTAATCTGGGAATCAGTGTAAATATTTTCAAAAACCTTGACATGGCAATAGGCTGAGATTCTACTCTTAATATCTATCCTCTGATCTACACTACAGTAGGAGCGATCCGAAAAGTTGATTGGCCTATAAACACTCAATTGCTGAATGCATGCCAGAAGAACAGAACTTGGAACACGTCTCAAAATAAAGCTTCTATTGTCTCAGCTGTCAAAGAAAATCACTACTATACATGAAAAATCTCAGTTACACCAATAACAAGCAACTTTTGTCCAAATAAACCAGCTATTCCAGTATTCTGAACAATAGCTCTGAATCTCAAAGTTCAGTTTGAGATTAAATAAACTGAGTAATGCATTGCAAGTACTGCAACAAAGGCTTCATGATTCTAGAGCATTTATATCCTCAAACTCTGTTGCTTTTACACCCTTGATAAACACATTACATGCTCTAATATCAGTTGAGAACCTACTATCATAAAGTTTCCCTTCCTAGTTGTATTCCATCCTCCCACTTTTGCTACACATTGGGAAGCAAGTTAACCATCTATTGTAAGGAGTTGACTAAAATATCAGAAAAACTCTGACCTCTTCATTGAACAATACTATGATTTATTTTTCATCTCCCTGAACAGAGTTGTGCGGTCTCAGTTCAAAGTCAGTATACCCGATAAGGTCATCCAAAATAGTACTCTAAAATCTTGGAGACAAAATTATACTGTCCTCTTAATCTTCACTCCAGTGAGATGAGCTGCAGTTTTTCTAACCTCTTTTTATAACTAGAGTATTGCAAGGCTGGTGGCATCTGGGTAAGTTCTAAGTACATACACACAAACACATGAACAAGGATCAAGAGAAGGCCATTTGATAAAGAACTCTAATAAATTCGTGAAACACTATTTCTCTTTGATGAAACCATGTTGGCGTTTCTTGATTATCTTGAATAATTATTCAAGTGCCCAGATACAAGCAAAAAACAATAATAAAAGGCAGTAAAAGACAATTTAAGAAATAGTTATGTCACTAAGAAATATAAAACTACTTTCATTTTTTATGGGGGGGCATGGCGATAGGTTATAGACATTAGAAACGTTAATCATTAAATGAAGGAAAAAAAATCTCAGACAAAAACAATCTATTTTGACAATTTTAGGAACCTAGTGAGCCAGTTGTACCAAGTGATGAGCTTACATAGGTGTTTTCTATTAGGAATGTAGAGGCGCTTAGGATAGAAAAGTCAATCTGGAAAATGTAAATATTTGACAAGTATACAGAAAAACTAGATTCATAATATTTCCATATGAAGAAACATTGATTTGTATTTGTTAATTATGCAGTAAATCTTGGAAATTTGAATTCATAAATGGCTCATACCCTGAAAAGCACTTTCTGTTGCACGCCTCTTCATCTCAGCCTCCTCTTCTTCCTGTTTCTTCCTTCTACAAATAGAAAAGCAAAATGCTCAGATCCCGGTTTCATTAATCAGCTATATTTTACATGGATGATCTTCAACAAAAAACATAAACACTCTGACTTTGGCTGAGATTATAAAGCTAATACTTGCTCACAATGTTATTTTTTCCATACTTACGCAACAATATCATTCCACGTTTCCTGAAGTTTACTGTCTCCATGACCAGATTGGATCAGCTCTGCTTCTCTCTTCACCTTTCTATTGAATCCAAAGTTACATCTGAATTAAAAGTCTGTTGCAAGTTTGAAGTTCATTCGTGGTTAATATTCATACTTGCCACTGTATAACGTTGCAAAGCTATTAATCTTCAACTCTTATCATCGCTTGGAATGTTCATCTGCAGGAAGTCAACCAGAAAATGCTTCTGCATACACAACTCACTTTAGGTGCGAAATGTAATCCATGGTAAGATGAACAGACATGCTGTTTCAGCATGAGCACCAGCTTTCAGGGATAGGCAAGTTGCTGGAGATGATCCTGAGAGACAGGATTTACATGTATTTGGAAAGGCAAGGACTATTGAGGGATAGTCAACATGGTTTTGTGCATGGGAAATCATGTCTCACTGACATGATTGAGTTTTTGAAGTAGTAATGAAGAGGACTGATAAGGGCAGAGCAGTCGATGTGATCTATATGGACGTCAGTAAGGCGTTTGACAAGGTTACGCATGATAGACTGGTTAACAAGGTTAGATCACATGGAATGCAGGGAGAATTAGCCATTTGGATACAGAACTGGCTCAAGGGTAGGAGACAGAGGGTGGTAGTGGAGGATTGCTTTGCAGACTGAAGGCCTGTGATCAGTGGTGTACCATAAGATTTAGTGCTGGGTCCACTGCTTTTTGTCATTTATATAAATGATTTGGAAGTGAATGAGGTATGGCTAGTAAGTTCGCCAATGACACTAAAATTGGTGGTGAAGTGGACAGTGAAGAAGGTTATTTAGAGTACAAAGGGACCTTGATCAGATGCTCCAAGGAGAGGCAGATGGAATTTAGTTTAGATAAATGGGAGGTGCTGCATTTTGGAAAGGTAAATTGGGGCAGGATTTACACACTTAAATGGCAAAGTCTTGGCAAGTGTTGCTGAACAAAGCGACCTTGGAGTGCACATTCATAGTTCCTTCAAAGTGGAGTTGCAGGTAGACAGGATAGTGAAGAAAGCATCTGATATGCTTGCCTTCATTGGTCAGCGCATTGCGTGTAAGAGTTGGAAAGTCATTTTGCGGCTGTACAGGACTTTGGTTAGGCCACTTTTGTAATACTGCATTCAATTCCGTGCTATAGGAAGGATGTTGTGAAACTTGAAAGGGTTCTGAAAACATTTACAAAAATGTTGCCAGAGTTGGAGAGCCTGAGCTATAGGGAGAAGCTGAATAGGCTGGGGCTATTTTCCCTGGAGCATCTGAGGCTGAGGGGTGACCTTAGAGAAGTTTATAAAATCATAAGCGTGAATGGCCAAGGTCTTTTCCCCAGGATAGGGGAGTCCAAAACTAAAGGGCATAGGTTTAAGGTGAGAGGGGAATGATTTAAAAAGGGACCTTAGGGGCAACTTTTTGACACAGAGTGGTACATGTATGGAATGAACTGCCAGACGAAGTGATGGAAGCTGGTACAATTACAACATTTAAAAAGCGTCTGGATGAGTATATGAATAGGAAGGGCTTAGAGGGATATGGGCCAAGTGCTGGCAAATGGGACTAGATTACGTAAGGATATTTGGTCGGCATGGACAAGTTGGACTGAAGGGTCTGTTTTAATGCTGTGCAGCTCTATGAAGGTAAACTGATGGACAACACATCCAACAAACACAATGGCACCAAAAAACTATTATCTTAAAATATTTAAATCACATGTACTCAAGCGATAGATATTATCGCTCAGACCATTGAGTATAGGAGTTCGGACATCACGTTGAGGGTTGTACAAGACGTTGGTGAGGCCACTTTTGGAGTACTGATTGCCCTGCTATAGGAAGGATATCATTAAATTGAAGAAGGTTCTGAAAAGATTTAGCAGGATATTGCTGGGACTACAGGATGTGACTTATAAGGATGGGCTGGATAGGTTGGGACTTTTTCCATGGAGCGTAGGGGGTTGAGGGGTGACCTTATAGAAGTTCATAAAATCACAAAGGGCATAGATAAGGTGAATGACAAAGTCTTTTCCCTAGGATGGGGGATTTCAAAACTAGGGGGCATAGGTTTAATGTGACAGGGGGTAGATATAAAAGGGACCTGAGGGGCAACTTTTTCATGCAGAGGATGGTGTGTGTATCGAATGAACTATCAAAGTGGTACTTGTAGTTACAGTTACAGTTACAACATTTAAAAGATATTCAGACAGGTGCATAGATAGGAATGGTTTAGAGGGCTGTGGGCCAAACCCAGGCAAATGGGACTTGTTTGAGAAACCTGGTTAGCATGGAACAGTTGGACAGAAGGGTCTGTTTTTGTCCTGTACGATTCAATCTGCCAACTATCTGCACAGGTTAAAATAATGTAAGAGAGGTGTAAACATGCTAAAACATGCAGGCTTTTAAAATACTTTGCTACAGATCTTCTGAAGATATAAATGCAAAATCTCTTACAAATACAAGAAGTGTTTACGATTGTTGCTTTAGTTCAGATGAATAATTATTTCATGGACTAAGTGCTGTATTTAAATGGACAGATAATGCAGATTAGAAAATAAGACCCCAATCCAAGAAATTCCTCAAATTAAACTCAACGTCTAAAACAAAAAGTTCAGAAACAATGAAGCAAAACATTAAATAAGAGTCAAGGACAACATGTTGTTGTTTACATGGGGAATGACAGGAAGGCAAAGCATTTAAAAATAAAAGTCCTGTTTTTACGGAGAAAGGAGAAAGAAGAAAATAATGCCATTGTCCCAAGTCCGTCTAAATCTGGACTGGCCCAACTACGATTAGCCTAGTTGGAGTGTACCCTTTTCTGCATAAACAAAAGAAAATTTTCTAATAACAAATGACAAAAATAACTACATTGACTTCTTCAGTTAGTAATATCTTGTACTGATTAGATTGGTGAAGGGACACATGATCAAAGGTGGCAAAAAACAAAATTACTTTCTCCTTTTTTACAGTAAATGTTTATATTAATAGTGAATAAAACTAAATTTGTAAAGTCCTAACCTGTATTTCTCCTGAGTCTCCTTAATAAGTTTCTTCAACTCATCAATTCGCTCAGCTGTGAGCTTACGAACAATTACATCCTCCACAGTTTCCACAACTTCTCCTTTTTCACCACGCTTTCGTCTGAAAAGGGTTTGACAGGGTCATTACAACAAAGAATCGTCATATTCAAAATCATCAGATTTTATTTAATGATGTACACTTACTTGGGAGTCTCTGTTGTCTCCAACAGTTCTGAATACTGGGATGCGCAATGCTATAGAAAAAGAATATAAACAAGCAAAAGTTTATGTGATAAGTAGAATATATACCACGAAATCTAGATGCGGCACATTAATCATAGCCATAGATGAGCCTCTCAGTGGCAGATGGGAAAGAAGTAGGGAAGGATGATGCTAGAGAAAAAAGGGAAAACCAACAGCAAATGGGATCAAAGATGACTAATTTCGAAGCCATTTCTTTCATTTGTCCATGTGATGTGGGTATCACTGATGCAGCTGATATTTATTGCCCATCCCTCACTGTTCTCCACAAGGTGGTGATCTGTTTCAGCCTTAGACTTTTTTGGGTGGTGGTGGGTGGAAGGAGACAGACAGGACTTGGTGTAGTTAATTACTTTATCCCAAGACTATGAAAAATGATTTGTTATTTTTTAATCCAGTTGGACAAATATATTAATCAGGAAATTGGTATACAAACCAATCAACGTGGAAGTTACAGTTACACATGAAGGTGCACAAGAGAAGAAACTACATGGACATTGACAGATTTCTTCTTTTGTTAAGCTGGCAGAAACTGAGCTCTTACCTTTTGTGAAAACCAGTCTGGTGCACGTCCAGGTTCTGCAAAGGGTTTGATTGCTCTGCTAACCGATACCCTGCAAGAGATGATAGGCAAGACACTGTTGGTGGCTTATTAATAATCTGCAGTGTGCTTTTAAAAATTCAGAACTTTCAACATTTGAAGTTGGGTCAAGTAAATCCTTCTTTTTAAAAAAATGTTGGCACTCAAAGTAGGAGTGTTAATGATCCAATCACGCAACCAACATTAGAAGGAAGTATTCTTCATCAGTTTTTGGACAGATTTCAAAAAAGTGTAAGCATTCCTTTGTTGTTATTGTGGCATTTGTGGAAAATTAAAGTGTAACCTGCAAGGGGTAAATTTATTAGCATGGATAAAAGATTAGTTATCTGGCAGAAAACAGAGTCTGTATAAAAGGGTCTTTGACTGAGTGGCAGGGTGTGACAAATGGAGGAGTCAGTGCTGAGCCTTTAACTTTTTATAATTTACTTCAGTGACTGAGATGAGGGGAGCAAAGGCATGGTAGCTAAATTCGCAGACAAAAATCAAGTTAGACAGGAAAGTAAGCAGGTCTAGCAGCACCTGTGGAGAGAAAGCAAAGGTTTAACATTTTGCTTCCAGCTCTGAAGAGGGGTCCATGGACATGAAACATTAACCTTACTTTTTCTCTCCAGATGCTGCCAGACTTACTGAGTTTGTCCAGCGATTTCTATTTTTGTTTCAGAATTCCAGCATTCCCAGTTCTTTATTTTAGTTTAGAGACAGGAAAATATGTTGTGAAGAAGGCACAAGGACGTATTGTGTACAGTTCTGGATGTCACATTTTACAAAGTATGTAAAAGCAGTGGAGCAAGTGCAGAAGCAATTTCCAAGGATGGTTCTACGGTTGAGAAATATCAGCTATGATGACAGATTGTAGAACTTGGGACTGCTTTCCTTGGAAAGGCGGCTAAGAGGAGATTTGACACAACTTTTCAAAATTACGAGTGGGCTGGAAAGGGCAGTTCGGGAGAAACTGTTTGTTTGCAAAAGGATCAAGAACCAGAGGACACAGATTTAAACTGATTTACAAAAGTAGCAAATATGATGAGAAAAAAACGTTTTCACACAGCAAATAGGACACGAAATGCACTACCTGGAAGTGTGGTGGAAGCAGATTCAATTGCGGTATTCAATATTATGTTGGATAATTATTCCAATAATGTGCAAGGTTATGGAGATAAAGCGGGAAATTGGCAGTAGGTAATGATGCTCATTTGAAGAGCTGGTGCAAAGACAATGGGTTGATGGCATCGTTCAGCACCCGTAACACTTGTGATTCAATGAGGAGCTTGCAGACAGATATCGAGATACTAAGAACTGCTGATGCTGGAGTCAGAGATAACAGTATGGAGCTGGAGGAACACAGCAGGCCAGGCAGCATCAGAGGAGCAGGAAAGTTGACGTTTCGGGTTGGGATCCTTCTTCATAAACAGGGGAGGGGAAGGGAGTTCAGAAATAAAGAGAGACAGGAGGGCTGGGGCTGTGGAAGGTAGGAGGGATGGTGATAGGTGAGTGCAGGTAGGCAGTGGTAGGGATTGGTCAGTGAGGTGGGAGGAGCAGATAGATGAGAGAGAAGATGGACAGATTGTGTCAAGTCAAGGAGGCAGGAATGAGAGGGAGGGATGGCCATGGGATGAGGCCAGGGGTGGGGAGATTTGGAAACTGGTAAAATCCACATTTAGGCTATTGGGCTGTTGCCTCCCAAGGTGGAATATGAGGTGCTGCTCCTCCAGTTTCCAGGCGACATCATTGTGACACTGGAGGAGGCGTGAATGGACATGTCACCCACAGAGTGGTGGTGGGGGGGGTGGCAGGGGTGGTTGGTGGCGGAGTTGAAATGGTTTGCGACTGTAAGGTGTTGTCATTTGTCACGAACAGGGCGCAGGTGCTCTACAAAGCAGTCGCCGAGCCTCTGCTTGGTCTCACCAATGCAGAGGAGGCCACATCAAGAGCAGCTGATGCAATAGACCACATTGAAGGATGTGCAGGGTAACCTCTGCCTGATGTGGAAGGTTTGTTTGGTGCCTCGAATGGAGGTGAGGGGGGAGATGTAGGGGCAGGTGTAGCACCTCCTGTGGTTGCAAGGAAAGGTGCTGGGGGTGGTGGGGCTAATGGGGAGTGTGGAGCGGATGAGGGAGTTGCACAGAAAGTAGTGCCTACGAAAGGCAGATGGGGTGGGGAGGGAAATATATCTTTGGTTGTGGGGTCGGATTGTAGGTGGCGGAGAATGATACACTGGATACGGAGGTTAGTGGGGTGATATGCGAGGACAAGGGGGATTCTGTCTTTGTTTCTGTTGGAGGGAGGGGATGTGAGGGCAGAGCTTTGGGAAACCCAAGAGATGCGGTTGAGAGCATTTTCAACCACCGAAGGGAAGAAGTTGCGGTCCTTGAAATAAAGAGGACATCTGGGATGTTCAGGAGTGGAACGGCCCACCTTGGGAGCAGACGCAGAGGAGGAATTGGGAATAGGGGATCACATTCTTGCAGGAAGGTGGGTGAGAGGCACCCAACAAACCCCTCACATTAGACACATGAACCTGCACATCCTTCAATGTGATCTATTGCAATACTGCTCCCGATGTGGCCTCCTGTACATGTGAGAGACAAAGCGGAGGCTTGGAGACCGCTTTGTAGAGTGCCTGTGCTCTGTACACGACAAACGACAACACCATCTGTCGTGAACCATTTCAGCTCCCCCTCCCACTCCCACTCCCACGCCCACGCCCACTCCCTGGTAGACAGATATAGTTAGGTCAAATGAGTGGGCAAAATATCTGACAGATGGAGTATAATGTGGGAAAACACAAGGCTGCTCACTTTGGCAGGAAAAATAAAAAAAAAAGCAAAGATGGAGAATTACTGCAGAATTCTGAGTGACGAAGAAACTGAACAGGATACTATCCTTTCTGATGAGAGGAACTGAACATAAAAGGGGGTTGTGCTTCAGTTGTACTGGGCATTTGTGAGGCCACATCTCAAATACTGTATACAGCATTCCTTATTTAAAGAAGGATGTAAATGAATTGGAGATAGTTCCAAGGTGGTGTACCAGATTGATACCTTGGATGAACAGATTGTCTTGTGAAGATACATCAGATAGATTTAACTGCTTTCCACTGGAATTTAGGAACGAGGGATGATTTGATTGAAATGTGTAAGATCCTGGGAATACGGAATTTGAAACACAACAAGATCAGTCATGATCTTATTGAAAAGTGCAAAGTGCAGCAGACTTGAGGGGCTGAATGGTTTACTTCTGCTTCTATATGTTCAATGTTCCAATTGACTGCTTTACATGCAACTTGTGAAGCACCTTCAATTATATTACACTCGACTATGATGCAATGGGTTATTTTGGTTTCTTAAAGTTTACCAATTTAGTGCGCCATTCTCATTACAAGCTGGCCTGAATCATCCCAAACCTATTCTATTCAAGAGCCTTACAACAGGCAGACAGAGATATCTTTCGTCTCATTCAAATGGAACTGGCCCAAACTGAAGTAACCAAGAAATATACTGTGTGCTAACTTTCTACCTCATCTTCAAAGTAGTTCACTAAGAAAATGCACAACAGTCTGCTTAAAGGTACCTATTAACAATTCTACACACGAGTGGTGTAAAATGATAGCAAAGTACATTCTTTGATTTTTCAAGTCTACTCAATAGAGTATCACCCCCTCCCCTCAACAGACATTTTGTCTACAAATCTTTGTCTGTTTCTAATAAACATTAGGAAAAGCGTCAGCATAATTTTTTGTCTTTATAATACAAAAAAAAAAGGGTAATGAAGGGGTGACAATAATATCCCTTAAAACAATTTCTCGTGTATTTCACCTATTTGAACCACATTTTCTGGACCCAATTTCCCTCTCAACATGGTGCAGGGCTGGATGAACACAGGAGGCCAAGCAGCATCATAGGAGCAGAAAGGCTGACGTTTCGGGCCTCGACCCTTCATCAGAAAAGGGGGAGGGAAAGGGGGTTCTGAAATAAATAGGGAGAGAGTGGGAGGCGGATAGAAGATGGATAGAGGAGAGGATAGGTGGAGAGGAAACAAACAGGTCGAAGAGGCGGTGATGGGGCCAGTAAAGGTGAGTGTAGGTAGGGAGTTAGGAAGGGGATAGGTCAGTACAGGGAGGACGGACAGGTCAAGGGGGCGGGATGAGGTTGGTCGGTAGGAGATGGAGGTGCGGCTTGAGGTGGGAGGAGGGGATAGGTGGGAGGAAGAACAGGTTAGGGAGGCAGGGACGAGCTGGACTGGTTTTGGGATGCGGTAGGGGGAGGGGAGATTTTGAAACTTGTGAAATCCACATTGATACCATTAGGCTGCAGGGTTCCCAAGCGGAATATGAGTTGCTGTTCCTGCAACCTTCGGGTGGCATCGTTGTGGCACTGCAGGAGGCCCAGGATGGACATGTCGTCTGAGGAATGGGAGGGGGAGTTGAAATGGTTCGCGACTGGGAGGTGCAGTTGTTTATTGCGAACCGAGCGTAGGTGTTCTGCAAAGCGGTCCCCGAGCCTCCGCTTGGTTTCCCCGATGTAGAGGAAGCCACAGCGGGTACAGCGGATGCAGCAGCATCTGCAGTTCCTACCATCTCTAATTCCCTCTCAACATGTTTATTTCTCCTCTGGAAGATAATCTCTGAGTATTAAAAAAATCACCCTGCAATTAAAATGATGTAATATTCTGTCATATATATGCAAAATTGTCAGTCAGTAACTGATCATGATATAGCAAAAATCAACTTTAAAAATTCAACATATCTTAGCTCTGACTCCAACATCCAATGTTTAACTTTCTTCTAAATCTCTTAACAAACCTTCAAGACAAAATCTTAGTTGCGTTTTTATGTTAGGTTTTCCATCAGATCGAGATGTGAAGCAGTTAAGCAAAATTTACACCATTAAAAGTTGTTTCTAGCTGTTTTTAATATTGTCACCTACCAGTTTTGGTCTCCGCTCCGCATCACTGAAGACGCTAAACATAGCTTCTCGCGGATCGACCATGGTTCAGTAGGGCCAGTACTCAGCAATTTGTGCTCTTGGAGAGAGGAAGACAGCCCAAAATTATTGACTGTCAGGAGAAGTAAAGAAAATCAATGCTTCCCAAATTATAGAAATTGCTAATCACACTATGGAATCACAACAATTCTAATATTTGCATGATGATTTGCATAGTTAGGCTTAAATTAAGCAGTTCACTTGCAAAAGCAAACCAACTCAGTAAAGAAACAGAACAGTTCCACTAGGTGCGGAATGTACCCACCATAAAAACTGTCATTGTCCTATTGCTGTTAACGCTTGCTCTGTACAATGGAACAGTGACTGCATTTCAAGAATGCTTCATTTCCCATTGAACATCTTGAATCACAATCACACAACGTATAATCATAAATCTCTCTCAAGTATGTGGATATGTTATCAGCTAAACTATGTACATCAGGGCTATCGGAAAAACATTAGGGAACGGGATAAAGTGAGTAGTTCTTGCAAAGAGCCAGCATGTAAATGATGGAACAAATGCCCATTTTGTGGGTAATCATTCTACGGTATTGGTTGAGTGAAAAATATTGGATGGGACAGGGGTGGGGGTGGGGGTGGTGGTGAATATTTTCAGTTAATTCTACATTGGGCTTTCAAAAGAAACATAACATGTACAACAGGTGATCTGGGGAAAAAAATAATCAACACCAAATTTATATATTCATGAACAGAAACTACAGAGGTAATGATTAATTGCTCATTACAATAGCAATATTGTTGAGACCGTTAATTATACATTGTAAATTTATTTCCTTGATTCTGCCCAGTCTCAAGCAGAAAAATATATTGTCAATGCTCATCTTCAAATCTCCAATTCTTTCTCTTGATGCCTTCCTCTTTCATTCCCTATCTCCCTCTACCGCCATCTATTTATAAGGTTTGCACATTATTTTGTTGTTATTGCAACATGATTCTTTGTATACCAACAGTACATGCACTCTCCTCTCAATTACATCTACTGCCTTTGTTCTCATTTCCTTCGCAGATTGCGTTAGAAGAAAAATTTAGAAGTGGCTAAGCAGAATAAATAGTCGCAAAAATAATGTGACATTTCCAGAAAGTGTGATCAAAATAAATGTTGCTGTTGGTCTGCCATAATTGATAGCAATAATTCAACAGTAAATTTGGATAAATCAAGAATCTACAAAAATGATCTACTTAAATCACTGATCTCAATGTTTCATGCAATATTCAGAATGAATCTCATGTTTTACAAGAATACACATGTTACAGCAACTATTATCAGGGACTGGAACTGGCCTGTTATTTTAGAGTAGGAGGGAGGATTTCTAGACCAGATGTTGTCCTTTTAAGCACCAACTCTAGCTTTTATTTCATCCATTTGTCTATTATCTACACCTTTGCTGTGACAATGGCATTCCTTGAAGAGAAATGCAAGATTACAAATAGTAATATTCAGTTATCCTTTTAGATACTACCCTTCATCTATCTCCTGCTGCTCATGCTTATCAAAAGACTTGCACATTTGCAATTATTCTATTCCCATTCATTCTATTTTGTCACCCTTTTCTTCTTTTTCATTTATGCTCTGCATGTTTTTATTTATTTTGTTTCGCCACTGAATAATGAAACAAACATGAAACAGGCCTCCTTTTCAGTTTCACCATAATTTCCAGGATCTTTACTTTGTTTTAATAACAAGACTTTAATACATGGACTGGAATCAGTACAAGTGATCACTGGGCTTGCCATAAAAAAAGTGACCTAGTTCCATAATGCCAGTTAAGGAAGAACTTAATCTTTATGAGGTAATTCAACATGGTTAACTAGCAAGCCACGAAGTGGCACCAGACCATTACAGAAAAATTAAAGTTGTTCAAGAAGCTGACTGCGTGTGGAGGTTGTGGGATGGGGTCCACTGATTAACACTAATCTCCACCAGAAATTAACATAGAGGTCAACATTTTCAGAGAGGCCCTGGCATTTCATATCTGCCCAATGGAGGTTTTAACTTCCTGGGCAAATACTGCAGACATGAGGTGATCAGAGCTTCTGAAGTACCCTGACACAACGGCAACAAACATCTCAACATTCACCATTTGGCATTGGAACATCCAGGCCATGATTTCCAGTTTGCCTGTGCTCTTTAACCACCATCTGAATTACTGTTTGGCCACTGTTGATACAACCTTGGGCTGTACATGTAAAAAAACTGAGGCAAAAGCTATGGAAGCTTTAACTGGAAATAAAAGCAGAATATGCTGGAAATGTTCAGAAGGTTAGGGTTCATTTTAAAGGTTAATTTTTTGGATTCTCTTTCCAGAGACACTGTTGGGCTAATCTGGATGTCCCAACAACAGTAATTCCTCCAGTATTTTCTACACAGTAGATAGTCCTAGGCTAAGTGTATTCCAGTCAGAGAGCAAGGGTCTCCCTCTAAGTATGGTGCTGCTTCACCTGGAAGGTATGTTTGGGCCCTTGGATAGTAGGGAGGGAGGAGGTAAATGGGCAAGTGTTACACCATCAGCGGTTGCAGGGCAAGGTACCACGGAACAATAGGAGAGGTGTTGGGAGTGAAGGAGGAGTGGACAAAGGTGTCTCGGACACCTACACTCACAGAACATCTACGTTCTGCCTGCAAAAAAAAAAAAAAAAAGACCCTGAGTTTGCAGTTGCCTGCCACTTTAACGCACCACCCTGTTCTCTGGCCAACATCACTGTGTTAGGCTTGCTGCAGTGTTCCAGCAAAGTTCAGTGCAAACTGGAAGAACAGCACCTCATTTTCTGATTAGGGTCCCTGCAGCACTCTGGACTCAATATCGAATTCAATAATTTTAGGCCTAAACTCTCCCATATCCCAGCCCCCTACCCCACACACCAGGCCTTGTTATCACATAGTATACAATTACTATTCTATCATTACACACTACCTATTGCTAGTCACTAGCAGTCCCCATTAACAGCTATTCACCCACCTCGCTAGATCATTATCAACTGTTTTGTCCATCCAACTGCACTTCCCTTTCTTTGGGCTCTATCCCCACTTATGATTTACTCCTTACCCCTCTCCCCACCCTATCCTCTGCATACAAACCAACATTTTCCTAGCTACAAAAACAAAGTTGCTGGAAAAGCTCAGCAGGTCCAGCAGCTCAGTTCGGAGGAAGGGTCGGTTAACTCTGTTTTCGCCTTCATAGATGCTGCCAGACCTGCTGAGCTTTTCCAGCAACTTCTGTTTTTGTTCCTGATTTACAGCATCTGCAGTTCTTTGGATTTTTATTTTCCTAGCTACCATCAGTTCTGAGGAAGGGTCACCAGACCCGAAACGTTAACTAATTTCTCTTCATAGATGCTGCCAGACCTGCTGAGCTTTTACAGCATCCGCAATTCTTTCGGTTTTTATAAAGACTCGGTGCACCTAGCAGCATCTATGCAGACAGAGAGTCAACATTTCAGATCAAGCTACCAAATATTTTCAGCATTCCCTGTTAACATTATAAAAGCTTAAGGTATTTAACATTGCGGAAGGGAAGACAAGCCAGGCACTCAAGACTGCTCCACACTGCCCACGTTGACAGTTCTTTCATGTTCGGATTCCTAAGTTGAAAGCTTCTCATCCACCTTCTCCTCCTCTCGCCAATGAGCCACTCTAACATCCATGAAGCCCCTTCCACCAACCTCTCACTCCGTCTCCATTCATTCCTCGCTCTCTCCGCTATTCTGCCCATAGCCCCCGTCCCCATTCTTCCTCACTCTCACCCTTTCCTCCTCCTCCCTGTCCCCATTCCCCACTCTCTCTACTCACACCTTTCCCGCTCTATTCCCCCAACTCACTCGCCACCCCCCCACAACCCATCACCCCCTCCCCATTTTCTCCCTTCGCCGTCTCTCCCCTCCCCATTTCCACTCTCTCCATGTCTCCAAGTTACTCACTGCCACTACTAGCCGCCATCATCCCATTAACCACCGCGCGCCATGACCTCTAACCCCGCCCGTAGAAAAGATTAAACCATCACCATCCCACGAGATTTTATAAAACTCGATCGCTGAATATTAACATTATTACTTAGTGTTGAATTTGAGGACATTATCGGCATTTTCTCCTCCACTGCTGAAATAAAATGAACACAGGTGAAAGGTCAGGGCTTCTGATGTCACACGCAGCGCACTCATTGGCTGCGCCGTAACCAGGCAACAGCGCCAGTCCCCGGCGAGCGAAGAACAGGTACCCTCCCCCACCCCACAACCGAAAAGACCCAGACTCCAGCAACACAACCTTCTTCCCCCACCCCACCAACCAAAGAAAGACCCAGACTCCAGCAACACAAGCTCCCCCCC